TGCCTTATTGTGAAATTACGGTAATTTGTGGTGTATGGAGGACATTTTTTCGTTTTTTGGGTTATTTAGATCAAAAAGATTCACCTAGCCTTATCATGCGGACTGAGCACGATTTTTTTGACCAGCAGGAGACAGATGTTTTCAGGCAAGCGTATGATTTTGACCCTCTACCATATATCTACCATAACTCCACAAATAGGTCCCAATTTATACTTCTGATCAGCATGTGGAAAACCCTTCTAGACCGACTTGTAACGATAATCGTGATCAGCATGTCGTATAACATCCCTAAGCCACGTTCCAGCGAAATCCATGATTCTGACTCCTTACATATACCCACCGTAGCCCCAAAAAAGAGCTACCGCGCAAAAATGATAGTTAATTGGCTTCAGCAGGTCGAGTACCCCACTCCCCTTAGACCGAATTTGAGCAATTACTTCAAAATTTGGGGCACGGATACTGGAATACCTCCGTTCAAACTAAGTCAGCATGTCCATCAACATTAGAGTCGGGCTTAAGCATGGAGTTCATAGAAACTTTGGTGACTTGGCAGTGAACTCAATGAAAAAGTATATTGTCACGGAAAAGTGGTGGAGGCAGCGGTGGGAACCTGCTCAATGCAGTGGATGGGAAGGAAAGGCAAGAGAAAAGGAGGGAGGATTTTTTTGAGAAGAATACTGAGCTTTGGCATTGCAAAGTGTTAAGAAAATGTGCGGCAGCCATAACTTGAGAAAAAAATTGAGAAAGAAGTTCTGGGGTTTTGGCATGGAAAAGTTTAGGGGAGCACTGTAAAGAGAATGAAAATACTTTGAAGGAGGAAGACTGGCTTACTGTGACTTATTCCAGTAAGCTTTGAGAAAAGGGGATTTTGAAGACGGGATAGCTTTTCAAGTAACGAAGAGAGAGTGGATAATTCGTAGGGAGTTTTGAAGGGAGAATTTAGGACATTTTGGCTTAGAAAATCGGAAAGGAGAAAGGTTTTTAAGGCTAGAGTGAGAAGGAATTTAGGCGCCTTGAATGCTTTGACGGAAAAGCAGCTAGCGAATGTACATCAAATAAAACACACAATATATTACCTAGGAAAAGTTACAGAAAGGGGAGCTACGGAAAGGATGCTTGACGAGAAAGAAAAGCACTATTTCGATTATCTAATGCGCAGGACGAGTCTAGAGAAAAAAGTATGAGGTGTAGGGTCATGTCTATTTTTGAGATTGAGCTTCACTGAGCGACATCTAGCCAATTCTTTGTTAATCTAAGCGATCTTCTACAAACAATCGTACTTTTGTCAATCAAACTTATATGCGCACCATGCGTTTCCAGCAGGACTTTCTAAAAACATTAATAAACGAAATTTATGACCTTACAGCATTGAAAAGTTGTTGTCCGAGATTTTGGTGACCCGACATGACATTTCTCACACTGATAGCCATTGGGCCGCTAGTCACTGGAAAGCTAACCTTGAGTCACTTGTAGCTTAATATGTGAGATTGCATACTAAGCCCAGCGACGACACCCATACTAGCAACTTCCCAGTAAAACATTTTCTAGCCTAACGAAATGTAGATATGTGTCCTACGACTAACATATAACCAACTAAAACAAAACAAACAAGGAATCAAGGAGAAATCGCTAGAAATGAGCAGGTTCTAGCTTCGCAGTCCGTCAGTTAGCGTGTATAGTGTGCATTACGCAAATTAAGTTACAAATGACTCGACGATATATTCAAGTACTTCTAACATTTGTCAAACTAAGCTTCTATCTTATCGTGAGAATTTTACCAGCATCTCCATAGCTGTACTCAAAATCGAAATTTCGTTGCTCACTTTTTTGGCCACAATTCAGGAGCAAATGAAGGAATTGTTTTGAAAACATAGCTACGGTATGGGATGAATATTCTTGCACCTATTGCGGAAATTTTTCGACTATATCTGGATTGAGAGGGCAGCCAATGTAGCTCATTGGCATTACTGACACGTCAAAACGGGTTGCACAGTACCACCAGTGCACCATTGGTGAAGCGGCGCTGAGGCCTCTGAAGACGAGGATAAGCGGAAACGTAAGTCCGCACCAATAAAAGGCTTCACCAAACCTTATATTGGCATAACAATATCAACATCATAATCTGGATTGAGGAATCGACGCCTTAAAATAGAAATTCGCTGCATGGCACTCTATGGGTTAAGAATTTTTCCTGATTAAGGCAATGGCCGAAGCCTCGCTTATTTCTCTAGCTTGAAGATAGGACATCTTGCCTACAATGTTTGCAGAATAACTTAGCTATTCAGTGCATAAAGAATTCAAAACTTTTATAGTTTAGGGCCTTCTGGCTTTCCAAAAAGTGAACAATTTTGGATTTATATTTTTTCTTTTCGCAGGTTCCCTTCGTTGAAGTTTTTTTTTACAAAACAAGCTGATTTGCAGCTAGTAACAAAATTTGGAAGGATTTATAATCTTTCAAAAAGTATTTTTAAAGGAGTAACTTTTGTTTTTTACGCATGGTTTTTTCCCGTTTGCGACATTAGTATGAGCAGGAGCGCGTCAGGTCGCGAAAGAGTTAATGTTTCTGATAGTCCTGATTGCATTCAAGAATATGCAGACTGGACAAAGTTATAGCCTTTCAAAATAAATTTTTGCAAAACGGATATTTTTTCGCAACAACCCAATGTTTTCGCTTTTTTAAACGGCTACCACAATTGCAGAACAAAGCTGCAAAATATTATGGCAGCATTTGATGCATTTTCTTAACTCTTTCCATGGTTGTGTGTGCAGACCGAACTTTTTTGATTTTTTGAACAAAACCATCGATTTCAGGTAGGCTTGTCTCAGTCACAAACCATAAAGCACCAACATTTTAGGAATTTGAAATTTTCGAAAGAGCGTTATTCAATACCATTTTACAAAGTAAGTGAGCTTTCACAGATTTGAAATATCAAACTCGAAATTTTAGGTGGGGCCGGGGCGCGTTCGAAACTAAGTTACGATGGTTTCATTCAAAAAAATTCCGCCATCAGGAACAAAAATCACTCATTAGAAAAAGGAGAAAAAGTCGCATTGAACGATATCCGATTGCTCGCCGGCTGATGTCCTGTGAGGTTTGAGATAAAAATATGTAATTTCCTTGCTTCAAAGAGATAACTCTGGAAATTTTCAAAAGCAGAGTTTGGAAGAGAAAAAAACTTTTGTATAATATGCGCTTTCTATCCATTACTTGGACGTCTTCAGGGAGTCTGTACTAAAAATAAAAAAATAGCGAGACTCGACCATAACAAAAAGCATAGGGTCAATTTTGATATTTTTTAAAGGCTTGTCATTGCACTACAATAGGAGCATAACCGTTTGATAGAGAATGAAAAGATACATCAGATGCAATGAAGATCTTCTACAAGTCTTTCTGCGCTTGTGGCACCCGTTCCAAAAATCATTTCGGGCTGACCTGATAAATCAGCATATGTGGCACATCTTAACATTGGCCTAATCAATTTGTCTGGCTTACTGTTCATATAGTTCGCTTAACATCAAGGTCAGGAGATAACAATTTTGGCAGTTTCTTACGGTCATATTCATAACCTTGTCCTTTAATTGTTCTCATCAATCCTCCTACGCTGGAAGCGAAAAGTTTTTTAGCCACTTCCATTCAAAACTCTGTATAGCTTTGCTTACTTGCATAGTTTCTAAGGAATTACGTATTTTTTGCTGTTTGAAATGTATAAATATCGAGGATATCACGCCATCCCTGAGCCTAATACCGCTCCTCAGCGCGACTAGGTGCGACGAAACCTCTTTGCAAGAGTTATAGACGACGAGCGTAATTACTACACCATCTGCACCGACTTTGTCCAGCGGTTGGCGACGGCAGCAGTTGCCTGCTCAGGTTACTTGCTACGCGTTCCTTTTTTTGTAATTTTGTAAATATTGGTCAACAATATGTCACACGTGGTAAATTCCTCGCCACACGTCTAAATGCATTATACGCTTAATCGTTGCAACATAATATCATTGATTGCACCTTTTGATAAAAGTTGATCTATCAAGTATAACAATGTCAGATTAATAATGCTGTCAGCTATTTGTAGTACGATATAGTTTACTACTGCTATCACGATGGCGATGAGATCTCTGCGAACAAAGATTTCCTTAGAACACACAGCGCTACAGATTGACTTTAGATTTTAGATCAATGTCGCAGATCAACACACGCTGGTATTTCATTCACTTTCTTAAGTTTCTCGATTTCATGATTGACAGAAAGTAGTTTACGTTGACATTATGCTCATTTGGAAAAGCTTGTATTAGATAAAATTGACTGACAGATATTTTTGACATAAGTACGAAGCACGAAATCTAGTTTATTCAAATAAGATTTTGAAGAGGTAGTATCAAACCCTTCACTATCACGTAAAAGACTGAAAATTTTTGATAGCGATAGGAAGCAATTACGTTTTATATGACTAGCATAAAAGCAGCACATGTCTTAACTTACATGCTGCAGTGATTGCACAAACAAGTATTGTGGTGGTTTACTACTTACACTCTTTGGCTACGCGGTTAATCATCTGGAGTCGATGAATTTCGTGAGCAGAGATCGTTTTGGACAATCTAATCGTTTCACTCTAATATTCTGTGGTCATAGATAACTGTAATAAAAAATCAAATGTGTGCGTAATGTATGTGTGCTTCAGTTATACTTCTTACATCTACCTTCAGCTCTCTTCTCAACTATCTACATTTACACTATTTGGTTATCACAAAATTGCCCAATGCGCCTTTCAGTTCTCCTTAAATTTTCTCGCTGAGAATAACTTAACTTCACAGAACATTGTTCCAAATATTCCTGCAAATTGTCAGAAACAAAAATCAAAATTTTTTTGTCAACCATATTATAATAATAAAATGTATGAGCGTACCACTGAAAAACACTTGTCTTCCCATGTCAACATGCGCAGACATGCTTGAAATTGTGCCATTATCATATCTTGGCTATACATTACAGAATCTGGTTCATGAGATGCTTACTGTACTCAAAAGTTTCACCTGGCGTGCGGCTTACACTAAAGAAGATCGTGGCCCTCGTCGTGACTTTGACAGTTTTGCTGCTTTTCAATGTGAACAAATATTTACACTACGATATACTATTCTGCCCCAGAAGTTCTTGTGCCGCAGTTTCAAAATATCATAACTTCTTCTTGTCTTGGTGGATTCCTTTGAACGAAGTTTCATAGGAAAGCGCAGGTCAATTTTTTTAGTAGCATCCCTCCAGTAAATCAGTATGAGAAAATTCGAGAGCTTGAAGAAATTGATGGGAACTACTCAAGGTTAGCATTTTTGAGGAGGGTTACGAATCTTGAAAGTATTTTTATGAACGAGAAGATTTTGCGCATTGCTATTCTAATGAACTAATCGAGAAAAGTCGAGAGTTAAGGGCAAATGAAGAGAATCATTCTTTTTGCGATTTTTGAGCATGCCCAAAAAACCTAAAAACATCACAGCAGAAACCGAGACAGTAATTAATATATGGGTTTTGTGACCCCCTCTTTCGAATTGAGCGAAATGCGTGCCGATCGAGAGCAGACTTGATTTTCATTTTTTCAATTTTCACGTCTGTGCTTTCCACGAAAATAAAATCTGGTCTCGATTAGCACAAAATGCTTTCACATTTTGTAGAAAGAGGAGGTCTCATAAAACGCATATTTATGACTGTCTCGATTTCCGCTGTGACGCTTGTAGGTTTCTTGAGCATGCTCAAAAATCGCAAAATTGAAGTAATTCTCTTCATTGCTTCTAACCCTTGAACTTTCCCGTTTTGATTCATGGAAAGGTACCATAATAACGCAAAATTTTTTTCACATGAAATTACTTTTCAGAATTTTTCGTAACCTTGCTATGATTTTTTGAAAATGTGGCGCAAGCACTTTAGGACAACATAATATGTGCCAAATATATTTGACATAAGTTCGATACTCTGTAGTATAATCATATTTTCAGAAAACTTCCGATTTTGGAAATATAACGGTTAGCCATCCAGAATCAACCAACGTAAGCTCTTGGCGGCGGATGGGTAATAGTCCACGGCTGCAATAGTTAAGCAGATTATGCTACGAATTTACAGACAGCAAAAGAGCATGCACCATCATCAGCGCTAACAATACTGCTGTCGATCTATCCATGGAGCAACTGTCAATGCAAGAGCTTGAGAATAAGTTCAAGTACTTAGAGCTCGGCGGTCACTATATTCCCAAACATTGCAGTGGAGCACACAGGGTATCCTTGTCCTTTCTTGACAATTCGTTTTTTGTTGGATGACTCATAAGCTTAGAAACATATTTTTTGTGGAGATTTTCATGGGGTAGAGGACATCAGGTCGGCAATAGTCTCCACTCATGCGGGCAGATAGCACGAGGCAGCAACGGTGAAGGCGCGCGGTTTGTTGCAGAATTCTGCGTGGGACCACCCTTCCGGCAACGGGCTCCTTTCATACTGTTCCGGAAGTTCGGGAACAGTTCCAGCACAGCGCTCGAACTGTTACCGGACTTCGGGATCAGTATAAACGCAGACTAATGTCCACTACTCCTTTTCATGTACTAGAACTGTTGCGTCATAAGTGCGGTCGCACTTTTTATGATATGATCAAGATGTTTTTTGGAATCGCATTGATTTTTTTTACGTTTCTTACACGACGGATTAGTCGAAGACTGGGTACGCGGTCATATATAACATCCGGTTTGAAGAAGCACTTTAACAAAGAAGTTCCAACAAGTTCAGCGATCTTTGGCCATTCTATTTACTTTGATGGAATTTTGCGAGCTGTTCGCACATCTCGTTGTTGGCGTTACACCCAAATCAGTAGTCTTGATCAAAAATTCTTTCTTGACGTTCATCATGTGTTGTTGGTAGGGAATGCAATGCGTGGCGATCGTGTAGTACGGCCTTTCAAGAACACTTTGTGGATTGTGAAACTTCTGCAGCAAAAAGACTTCATCTTTCCATTTGGCGCCTCTTTCGTCGTCAGCACTCTCCTGCGGTTTATGGCAACTGCGATAAGTTTTCATCAGTTCACTTTGTTTTGACTGTTCCGGAACTAAACGCGTTAAACTAGAGAACAGAGAATATGAAAAAGTGAAAACAGATATTTTCTAGCAAATCACATTAATCTATTACATACTGACAAACGAACTTGATGCAAGTCGAGCTAGAGGCCTATAATTATATGCATAATCTCAATTGTTTATCTGAAACTTTGATTTGTCCAATATACTGCTATTGGGATGCTGCACCTATTCTCTAAATTCCTTCGTTGCGATCACTTTGTATAGAGAGACTTCCAGTACATGGTTTGCGTGAGTTCCTGAACTTTGATGTAAACGCTAATGAATACTACCAATCGTCGTCCCCAGGTCTGCATAGACAGCTCAATGTCAGCGTCTTAGTAGGGTCTAAACTCAAGTGCATCTGCATTGGCTTCATCCTCTACAGTCCCTAAACGGAGAAAACGGTAATGCTATCAGGCCGTTCTTCTATCGGGCCCTGCCTACGAGATTCTCCTTGATGCGTCCTAAAAGGCAAGCACAGTCAACGCCCACTGCGTACTTTTTGCGTCATCTAATGTGATTGTCGAAGCAGCGAAGGACCCAAGGCGAGCTTACTCTGAATGAGGCAAAGAGGCTAACTATGTCCGTGTTGCATGCGATGAGTCTATCGTCAGAGCATTGTCCATGCCTGCAAGAATAGCGTTTTGAAAAGGGGAGATCCTGAAGTTTTTGTGCTTGCAGTTTATATCTGTAAAGTCGTAAAAGGACCGGGAATCATAGGAACAGGAAGCCAAAATCCGGATGAACCTGTCTTTATGGGACAGTATATCACAAGTCACGCTTGAATGTGCTTGAATACAAAACGTAGTCATGTGTAGAAATTTTCTGTCTGCTTGAAAAGAATTTCCTGAAATTAGGGTGTGTAAATTTTGAAATAATGTTTGTATAGAAATGATGTTTGTATTGTTCTGCATGGGTTACGTTAAGGTGGCTATAATAATTCCATATCGGAACCGACCCATGCACCTTCCCATCCTTCTTAACAATTTTCATCCTTTTCTCACTGAGCAAGAGCTGGATTACTCTATCTTTGTGGTAGAGCAAATCTCCAATCAGACATTTAATCGTGGGAAGGTAAGTTTACAATGAATAGTACACATAATTTGATAATCTTCTCCAAATTTTAGCTACTGAATATTGGATTCGTCGAGGCTATGAAGATCTATGACTGGCAATGCGTTCTACTTCATGACGTGGATTTGCTACCAGAGGATAAAAGAAATTTGCATGTGTGTCCACAGAACAATCCTCGGCACATGGCTGTTGCAATGGACAAATATAATTATTCGTGGGAAGACTGGAAACTTTGAAGCCACAAATGAAGGTAATGTTATAGGCTACATTATGACGGCATGTTTGGCACAAGCTCCCTGCTAAATGTGAAACAATATCGAGACGTCAACGGACTATCCAATCAATACTGGGGATGGGGAAAAGAAGATGACGATCTTTTCAGAAGGTGAGTACTGCCATTCTTAACTAGTTGCATCTCAAGTCCTTCTTAAAATGCGGGTAATGCGAAAAATTCGAAGGGTAATGTGCGCCTCTCATTTTCGATATCTCGTTCTTGTTTAAAATATAGCAACTTCTGTCAATAGAATCGAAGCATAATTCGCTACATTGTCTAAGACCTTCCACATGAGAAAAGTACGTTATGCATTAGTTACGTGGCGGTCCAATATATGCTTTAGAGGAAACATGGACAAACTTTATGTAGTTCATTCAACAAAACGATTTCTTTCTGAAACGAAGTTTTGCAATCAGGCCATTATAGGATTTCATGGTTCTCCTTTTAGTTTGTGCGTATACCAAATTCAGCAGAAAAGCAACGAAGGTGGCCCAAATTCTACCTTCAGCACATGAAGCCGTCTACTCTGGTGATCACTCTGGGTGTTGAAGGGGAAACCTTTTGAAAAACCAAATCTTCTCTTACGCGAAGCCTCATATAAGCCTACAATGACAGAAGAATGACAGTAAATGAGGGAATGAGCACAACTTGACAGCAGATTATTGCGATAACACCAAAGTTTGCGTTTGTGAGCGTTTCCGGGCTAAAATGTAAATTCTTATAAGTTATTAAATATGGTAACGTTTTTGACACGACCGCTCCGTGTATGCTTGAATTCCAAAATTCCAGGAAGATTGATGACATTTTATCCCTGCCTTCAATAGCCTATATCTCAAATGTGAAAAATATTTTTTTTGTCTCAAATTGCAATTTTAAATCAGCAGTTTTGATAATACATTGTAGATTCATATCTTTATTTATTACTATTTTTTTCACTTCCTGCATCGGTGTTTGTCAGAAAAGCTGATAACTTCATATGGGTCATAGCTTAGCAGTTTTGAAATCATTGATCTCTCTTACCGAAATATCAAGTATGATATTTTGAGAAATAACCTTGACAAATTGCGACGATATTTAAATCGATGTGATTCTCCCAAAACTGAAGAGTTCAAGTATTTTAGACTCTGGATATTACAAGTGTACAGGAATAAGCATGATTCTTTACGAGTTTGGGAGCAATGAAACACCAGCCACTAACTTCAACTGAGCAAGAATTTCTAAAAATTGACTTTCGTTAACCGGCAGACTTCACGTTTTCTTTTATTATTTACACAGAATACTCAAAGAATAGTATCTAAACAAGCATTGTCCAAAGTTGTTGGTTAAAGTGCTTAAGGAGGCAAAGACAGTTGCAGTAACTTCAAGCTGGTCTACTCATTATGAACTTCAAACAAGTCAAATAATCACGGCTAGCATTTGCGCCTTGCGCAAATCAAGTTGCGCACGGCGGCGGCTCCACATTTATGTTCAAAAGGCGTAGAGGAATTTTTCGTATGTATATTTTCGCAATGGTACTCTATCGGCCAGCAGCCACATCCTTATTTAGAGTCTTCACACAAATCCGTCTCGACCTCCTGTTTCAAGAAAATTTACCACGTTTTTTGGCAGTCCAGCAAGACGAAGGCCTTTTTTATCTACTTAGGAAGTTTCACTTTTGAGCGCTGGAACGAATCTAGATGTTGGTTGCCTTATCTCAGCATTGACTTCAATCGATAGGCTTTGCACTCTTGGGATCATTCTTACTTTTTCTTAGCATGGTCGATTATTCTGCTAAAGCATGTTGGATGATTTGGTCGGTCTGTAATACGATTTCTTGTTTTTTTCCAGAGAAAACGACTTCCAGCTTAGCATTCACCATCCTTGTGGAAAAGAAAGCGTTTTCTAGGTGGTCCATTTACATAAATCATTCCCTTGAATACAAGGTCATACCATGATGGAATTTGAACGCAGTTGTTCTTTTCTTGGCGTTTGTCACGCTCCAGTACATGCTTACAAAAAAGTTTTTGCTTGAAGTAGCCATTTCTATAGAGATGCTGCTTCGAGAGCTTTAAAATTACTAATCAACGATTTTTGTTGTCTACCGCTCTTCTAATCGCCTAGTTATGAGTGTTCCTTGAGGCAAGAGATGTACGTAGAATCTAGGTGAAATCAGCTGCATTGTTTTTTTAGCGCTCAAAGGGCAGTGTCAGTGTGAGTATGATGTGGAACAACTTGACAACATTGACTTTTTGGGAGCCTTTCCCTCAGGTTCATGATATTCAGTGAATCTTTGCGGGCGTCCGGGTAGCTGATACTATTTGATACTTTTGTAAGAAACAAAACAACTTTTAAGGCATTTCACCGGAAACGTTTTAAAAAAATGTAACTCTGGATCAAGACTCTTTAACTTTTGACACGTAGCAAGTTAACAGTGCTCTTTAGACTTTCAATGACTTCAAGGGGACGAATGGTATAACAGTATGAGGCGCCGCTATGACCAGGTCGGACTCAGGTTCGATCCCCGCCCCTGGGCCAACCAAGCCCTTTCCGGGGACGGTAAATTGGTACCAGAGTAATCTGGGAGGAGAAAAGCACTGACTTGGTAATCGGCTGGCCCCGTAATGCACTGCAATGGGCTCGCACGCATTCAGTAGCCTCTTCGACTGTGAAGTAGAACGCGTTCTGCGCATGACCGCAAAGGTTATTGAAGACGCCGAATTCTTTAACCTTTTATCCTTCTACTGACTTGAGCACGTGTTTCATGAAGGCTCCTAGGGATTTATTTGATCCACGGGAAGGTACCAAATATCATTTGCTATCAAAGCCCTCACTTATTCCTATTTTCTCCCTTTTCTCCTACGGCAATCCTCAGCTCCTATTAAAGTGCATCAATATAAGTATAATATGATCCAACACTACAAACATACATACACATTCATACAGATACTTTGCTGTAGCTGTATATTGAACAAAATGTATAAATGCTGTATATCTTAAAGTCATTTGTTCAATTTGCGTATCGCACACGATGCGCCCTATTTGACGAACATTTGAGATTTGAATCTGCTTATTTCCAGTGATTTCTCCGTGCCTCCTTCTCTTTGGTTTGATTGAATATTTATTCTTCAATGGTAACTGGTTTGCTGTTTGTCACGTTACAAAGGTTTTACTGAAGTGTTACTAATAGAAGTGCCCGGTCTTCGCGCATTTGTGCAGGCTCACATATTGAGTTACGAATGACTCAACGATAGATATATGAGATGAGATATGATGCCAATATTGCACGATACAAAAATTCACGAACGTTCATAAAAAATACTGATTGGAGCATTCTCCTACGATTCTCTTTCGATTCCAGACTTAAAAAGTCAAACTACTCACTGTGCTTTCTAACAAATCTAGCATGGTCTGAATAATCGTGGAAAAGTATCAGAATCAATTTGAAACAGCTTTTCCCCTATTCCCACTCCTGTGCAAATTCCCGCTAGCTCTACAAATGACCGTTGCTCATACCGCAGAAAATGTGCGGAACATCAAGTTCGACTGAAGTATGCGTATTTTGTCGTTTTACTGCCCAAAACTAGCTTGAAAAGCAAAATGCGAGACTTGATGAAGCTTCGTCATCTAAACACAATAATCTTCTGAGTTGCAGAATTATGATAGCGGGCTATGAAGTCGAACGATATGACTCCACTATCGCACGATACACAATGATCAAGCATCAAATTGATGACGGAAATCCGATGAACCCGTAAGGCAGTTGCAAATTCATTCCACTTGACAACAAAGAGACATTTCTCTCAAAAGATACTAACTGTTTTAGAGCTATTCGCTAATTCTGAGCCATTTAGTGCCTGAGAAATTTTGACATTTAAACGCTCATAACTTTTTTCGGAGAGTTATTCCGCAAAAAAGAAAAACAGATTCGGAATCAGCGTTTAGAGGCGCGTTTAGTGATATACATCATATCTTCAATCACCAACTTATGTTGGTATCCTTCCCTTGTTAGCAGCGAGCGCCAGAAAAGGTTATCATAAGTTCGTCGTGGTACTGTATTCTTATGCAATCGCATGCTAAACGACTTCTTAGTGTTTGATTTTTCCAGATGCCGGGAAAAGCTGTTCGAATATACTCGTCAACAGTGGAGAAAGGATGGCTTGAACTCGCTCCGTTACAAGTTGATTAACATCACTTTTACACAAGTGTACACCCGCATTTTGGTCGATTTATTGGAGGAGAAAGAAAAGCCTATCATATATGAAACTTTTTGCGCAGAGGAGGGAGTTGAAAAATAATTACGTCTCTTTTCAATCGAGAGCTGTTACTTGATCTAGTTTCTATAAGCTTGTCTTTCTGTCTAGATTAATCAAAGATCTCATGCACATATAATCTACATCGCCGTGTTGTACCTTTGCTTCCCACTCTTTATCAGTCAATTGCTCATGTTGTTGTTGTTGGGAGAATGGCGGTACCACTTTATGTAATAAAAATGAAACTAGCTTGTCACTTTGGCTACTGCTTCAGCGAGGGTGGAGGACTATATGTCGCCGAATTTGGAAGAGTCCCGCGCAGATTCCCTGCAGGAACGCATGTCCGCGCATGTGCAAGGGTGCGTATTTGTCGCAAATGACCGCGGGGACCGCCCTTTTTCGGCGACATATAGTCCTCCACCCCTTCAGCGACAACCAGATTGTTTAGAAGATGGCAGGTCAACCTTTCGATTGCGAAAAAGTAACATCAAAGCACGGTAGTCTATACCCACCTCGAGGCTTTCGAGCTATCGGATGACTGCTCGAAAGCCGCAATGAATGCATCTTGACAAAACTGTGTATCCACACTTTTTGTTTTCGTTCTAGCAAATTGTTCCTCCGTTGTTTTTATATGTGTTGCTTCCTCATATAATTCACGTAAAAATATATAACACCTCAGATGGCAAAAATATATAACACCTCGATAGCATCACACTCCTTCAATTTTTTGAATTATTCGCAGATATCCTACGCATTTGAAGTTTTGCTGCTATGGCAAGGTCATATGACAAAATTATTTACTCCAAGTTCAAAACGCTGGTACGCCAAGCCGCCAAGCCATTATGCAATGCTGTTCCAAAAAACCTTTTAACTTGGACTCTTGAAATCTGTCCTCTTGACGCGACCTCCATTACAGTTGATGATAGATCTGACAAGGAACATGTTTTTATTCAAAGTGGACGTTTTAGGTGAATTATGTATCGTTCTAGAGAACATCATACGCTGGCTATCACCTGTTTTCGAAATCTGCTGTGATCCTCCAAATGCCAACTTACGAACTTTTTTTTAGGTGAGAAAACTGACCGCGCATAGACCGAAATCATTGAAACACGTTCAAAATGAGGGTATCAAATTACTTTGTGCAGTGGATACTTTCTGTCTGATATGTGCCACTCATCGTTGCTCGATCTGTTGAAGAGACCGTAACGACTGTTTCTATAAAGAAAATGCTACTTTCCGCATCAAAAGCACCAAAACTTGGCGTTCAGAAGTGCACAGCAGCTACTGAAGACAGAGTTGGAATCAGTCTCTGATTTTTTACAAAAAAAAGTATCAAACTTATTCCTACATGCCACTGAAAACACGTTCCTCATGAGTAAGAACTTGTAACGAGATGTCGCGCTTTGCGTTCAACGCTTTTGCTGAAGCTACTATCACAGGGTTATTGAGTTGCATGGTTGTAATTGTGACGTCGTATCAAGCGTCTTTTTGAGACTAACGGGCGGTGCAACGATATCCTAAGTACCCAAAACATCAATTTTTTTCTTCAAGAAATGGCAAGTGCTTTGCTGAATATATCAAAAATGCACGCAAACGACATGATATTCAATCGCTATCTTCTTGCTTAGATCCATGATGGTCAAATCCGCCACTTTCGTGGGTTTCTTGCTTGCTTAACTGTACCATATTGCAATATTGTTCACAATAAAGGACGAAATGCGGGCTCTTCTCATAACTGGAGCACTTGGGCAGCTGCTCTATACATTTCCCTCAACATGACTTTTTCTTTCTGTCAAATTATGTATCAGTACATTGCTGCTACTTACAATGCTTTACTCCTCTATTCTCGTTTGTAGGTGATTTCAACGTGAATAGTTTAAACTGTGTTGCTAACTAAACTAATTGTTGTGTTTTCACGGATTTCTAATGTTAGGGCATGCTGTTTGAAGCATTGAGACAAACATCTAAATCAGCATGGGCGGAACATGTTATACAGCAGTCGTCAATGCACTCACAATGTAAAAGTAATTTAGTCTCAGTTTCAACGCCTTCAATCCGTTAATACACTCGCAAGAGTTGGCGCATTTGCTGCTCTTTTGTTGATTCAAACTGCTTGTATCATCCTTGATTCAACGGGATTGGCGGCTAGAAGGCGACGCTCGCACCCGCGACGCAGTCTGCCTCTCTTTCGCGAGCGTGCTCTCTGATCATTCTCTAGCCTTGATAAGACCTGACCTCCCATTCGCAAATCACATTGAGTCAAAGAGTAGCGGGTGCAGTGGAGGACGATGAGGGTCATCCTGGTTGCTTGGAGTATTGAATAGGTGAGGATTGACACTCAGTCAGTAACTCGCAAGTGTAGGTCATGCTGGCAACATTTCCACGTGAACAAAACGTTACTCCTGTATCGTTGCTAAGTTGAGCTTGCTATATAGCCATGGAACAGATTTTCAAGTTTTGTGACACTACACTTTCTTTGTATGAAATATGGGCATAATAATGCTGAAAGTTTCACTTCAGAAACTTCTCCGGCGACACGATCACGCCATAAGCGTTGATGTAGTGGTAATGGTCTCAGCCATGATTGCTGAGACCATTACCACTACATCAACGCGCAAGTATTAAAATGTTTTGTCGCGCCTTGCTAAGGGAAACTCCAGCATTTGTAGAAAATAATGACTGCGAGTAATCAATAAGTTTCTTCCCCTGCAGCTACTTCGATGTCCTTGTCCGATTTATGGTCAAATCATAGTTTTCTGATTTGAGGCAGTAAAACAAAAAAAACGAGGATCCCCCTTTTGTGCTGAAGCATAAGTTTAAAATTTGGCCCACGGTGTAGAATTGAATTTCCTACCCGGAACATGCAGACAGCAACGCGTATACAGAAACAGTTGATGCGCTTCAGTAGAATTCCCTTTGTAAAACTCTCGTATGTTGTTGCTCCGATCCATTGACATGGAGCAGAAAAACGTTTTTTTATGCATTCTAAGGAGAAGGACATGTCCTCCCTGGTAAACAAAGTTTTCCTCAATTTAAACTTGAGCTATAATGCTACTAAGCCCTAGCTAGTTTTTTGAATCACTCTTGTAGAAGATTTACTGTCAAAATCTTGCTGTGAGATTTTTCGTCAAATCGAACTACTTCATTTATGTGTGATCGGCACGTCATCGTTCTCGAGGAAGGATGTCACGATTTACAGTTGATCGAGGCATAACAGTAACTTTGTATCGTACGCTGCCGCTAAAGACGTGACGTCTCCATCCAAGAATGCTGCACACCCTACTAGCTGATACAGAAGTTGATACGACCGTGATGTACATCAAGCATGATAGGGGATCTCCGGCCCTGGAACCATGCTTTATATCAGTGAAGATGTGAAGTTTTAAGTGACAGGAAAGTCAGAATTGGGGAGAATGACATGCTATGTCACTGAAGAAACAGATTGTCAAGGATGGAGTGATGCATTCTGTCAACAGAAGGAGTAACTCAAGACAAGAGTTACGTGCAGAACTTGTCGCCGATTTGAAGGCAGTAGCAGAAGTATTTCATGGCGAACTAGGGAGATGCACAAAAACGAACGCGAAGCTATGCTTGAGAAATCTTTCAGTTTCTTTATCATGACTTATAATAAGCGGCTTAATCTGAAGTTGCGTGGAGTTTGTCCGTTACGAAATTACAGTGAGGAATGATTTACGATACTAAACATCATGTGAGGTTAAGATAGCGAGTATGGTTCATTTTTAACTACAGCTCACGTTGCAATAAAATAATTTAAGAGACAAGCTCTCAGAAAGTGAGTTTACCACGGTTCACGATGCCAGTGCGAACCTCTGCGAAGCAAAGGTGAAGCACTGGTTCAGGAAGAAGCGGCTAGTACCGTATGCGACTACGAAGGTGGATGCAGTAATCAAGCTGTAGGATGCCGCGAGGACGATGTCTGCAATAGAATACGCGGGGGGGGGCAGTACCTACAGGACTTTGTCAGGAAGAAAGACGATTCTTCTTGCGCCCGAATTCCCAAAGGCTGAAATGATGCCCTGCAGCTGCACCGGCTAGGCCACGTGATTTTTGCTGAGCGACTGAAGCAATTTGCTGATAGTCGAATGGGCATGGAGAAGCTAGCTAACAAACTTCATGATGATAGCCGAAGTCAGCTGAAAGCTCCAATACTTTTCTGAATCGATTTCGATTTGCCAACATCTCTATATATAAAGCAAAAAATAGTGTATCTGTGAAAAAATCTGTGTATTTGTGTGTCTGTGCATGTTTCCCATAGCCATGAAAGATGAGCGGTGAAGCTCATTTTCATTTGCTGGTTATCAAGATATGGTAAGGCCGGTAGGAAGCGAACCCAAAAGAGTCGGAATCAAAAGAAGGGTAAGTTTCGCTAAGACGTCAAGCAGGATGGAGGCTCCAGAACGGAGTGGAACTCGGGATATCAACTCGTGAATTTACAACAGAAAAAGCTGCTTCGTGTACTAGTCAAGTCATCAATAGACTTCCATTCTGACAATTCTACGCTCGATTAATAACGCAAGACCAGGTTCCAATCGACGTAATGTATGTGTTACTGTAAGGGCAAGAAATTCTAATGCCTTTTCAATCTCGATATGTTCCTTCATCGTTTAACTGTTTAGTTCGCTTCAAACTTCTCTGGATCAGAGTTGGAGCGAATGTTGAGAGATTGCAAAGCTTCTTTGCCCTTTTGAATGGTACCTAGAATGTGGGAAAAGCATTTTGGAATATGAATTATTTTATTGCAATATGCTATATCAACTCAACAAATCAATAATACCATCCATACACCCCTGTTATGGAAGCCGCGAATAATGCCTTCAAATTTTTTCACCAGAAACGTTTTGCGGGTGACGCGCCTATTTAGACTCAAAAACGTGAAAAGCATAGATGCTATGGTAATCACTCATTTAAACCTTGTGCTCCTTCATTGTCAGATTCTTACACGCTAAAAAGTTTTGCGCGAGCATGCGTAATATGTTAAAATCGCACGACTTAATATGGTTTTAAGACCAAATATAAGAGGCAATTTGGAAAAGAAGGAAATCCCTTACATTATGTAAAATTATGCAAACCACAATAAGGAGTAGAATAGGTCTCCCAGCTCGTAAGAAAACATGAGAGAGAGATGTAAGGTTCCGAGCAAATTATGACTTTAAAATCCAAAGCTTCTCAATCCTACATGATACAAAGACTAGGAAATTAAATTATCTAGCTACAATTTGAGCAAAGCATTTGTACATTTCGTGTGTATAATTGTGGGTCATCATCATGTCCTGTTTGTCGACGAAGATTGCATACAATGATTGTATAGATTTTCGCATGTTTAAACGGTCATAAAATATCCTGTGAACCGAGCATCATCTTCATTTTTCATCGTATTTTTCTTGAAATCGTTGTCCCACTGTTTTGGCTCATCTAAAACAGATGAAGAAAAGTGGGGATCGTTTCAAATTATTCAAATAGCTTTCTTCTTCTTTCGGCGGTCATGCTCATGGATTTTCTTCAGTTTTCTCTTCATACGCGTTTCGCATGTGCAATTCAGATTTGTAATCTGCTTTAGAAACTTCAATCTGTGTTGCTTTGTGTAGTACATGTTTCCGACAGCAAGAAAATTTCTTACTTACATTTCAATATATATACTCTTTTGTATACTATATTATTCTGTGAGTCAACTGCTCATTAGTTCAGTGACAGTCGAAAAAAACCTTTTGTAAGTTTTTGAGTTAATAATTTATTTAGTCACTGAGTAATACGAAACCAAGCTCTAAAGCATTTGTGATTTAAATCAAACAGGTCTTTAGCACCTCAAATCCAGCTTTGTATGTAGCACCATTTTTACCGATATCTTCGTAATAAGAAAGCAAGGGTTTCTGCATTGTGCTTTTGATTTCAGTGAAAAACTTCTCACTACTACAAACTTTTCAAGAAAAAGAATAATCGAGAAAAATTCCAAAAACATTTGAGATTGCCAATGTCGTTCCTTTTCGCAAAAAAAAGGTTTTTCAATGAAAGTTCGTTACGTCAATTCTTAGGAAACGGCTTTCACCGCTGCAAACTTGTCTAAAACAAGAACGAGCGTTGCGACACTTTTGAGATCTTTCAATCTTGCTGTGTCATACAGGTTTGTAGGAAGGCATATTTATTCGTACCGGTTTAATGCTTAGGTGCAAGCAAGATGGAAATGGAAATTGATAGACGACTTTTTGTCGAGCTTTTCAACATCTTCTTTGATATTTTTCAAGACCAAACTCAAGTTCGCGAAATTCGAAGCGTCATGTGTTTGTTTGGAGGGCTCGTTTTATAAGTGTAACCGAAACTGCTATTATGAAGCGTAAACTCTCTTAGAAGTTCGTAAATCTACTAGCAATTGAAAACTTATCAAACCTCTTTCGGTAAAATTTGAGTATTGGGACCTTGCGGGCATTTGCTTTTTTCATCATTTCTAGACAACTGCTGAAAGTTCAGCGAAATGGATTACCTGCGCGCATACGAGTAACATGCATCAGCTTAAATGAACTTATAGGCTTATTAGAGATTTAGTCGTATTTGAGGCGTACCTCAAGCAATCTGACATTGCAAGACTTTTCTTGATTTGTGGTAAGCGCACTTTGCTTAAGCCACACTTTACGTCGCGAAACTTACAGAATCTGCGCTCCTATGGGTTTCAGCGCAAGATCAATTCGCGAACATCTAGCAAATCGCCAAGTAACATGATTTTGCGATTTGACTCAATGTGGGAAGTATGCCCTAGTCATAAGAGCGTGCACACTAACTAAACAGTTTGATGGAGGTGGGTCAGGACTAGGCACGAAATCGCATTGATATGTAGCAGAGAAAAGTTGCGCTCGATTTTGTAGGAGACTAAGAAGTACCTTTAGATGAGTGAATGTTTCAAAAATCCTTGCAGAAAACGAGAAGATGAAAAGACGAAATGGAAAGACGAGTCGAGAAAAAGGATAAGGAGTTAGCGGAGCGTAGTCAACTGTGCTCAAATTGGTTGAATTGGCATTAGATGACGGAAATAAGCGTTCCTTCTTCCACTTGCAGTTTGAATATAAAAAAGATTGGGTCATTACTTGATCGAGCAAAACATACACAAGTATCATTAGATACGCGTGAAGTTTCAAATCAAAATGAGGAAGATTGAGCGTCAGAGACTTTTAGCTTTGAAGCCTTTTTCCAAGCATTTTTCCTTGGTCAGCATATATTATTTTGTCCTCCCATAGGTCGTATTCGAACTTTCAAATTATTTCATAGAAACCAGGGCACCTACAGGGTTGCCAATTTTCCATATAATCACATATTTGCGAGGGACATAGAATGCTATAGGCGTCGTCAGAATATGAAAAAGCTTATGGGAACAACCTAATAATTTGCGTAGCAAACACTCATATGCATTTGCTTTTTTTCACAGGTGGAGAAAAAAATCCGCTGATTGGCAAACGCAATCGTAAGCTAGTGTTCCAATGTGGTTGTATTCTAGAAACCCTTGGAAGTGAATCTTAAAGACATTTTTGTACTCTTGGCCTGTCTTTTCTTAGCTTCTACCGTCAAAAAATTCCAGAAGCAGCACCTATGTGCTTTTTATGATGAAAGCTTACAAACTCTTTCTTGGCGATGATCCAATCTCTAGGGTCCCACTTTTTGGTTTCGGCTTGTAATTGATGTAGAAGAACTAAGAACTATTGAGAGTAACTCACTACTAATATACCACTGTGTTATAGGGCTTGCTTTGCAGTATTGAAATATTTTATTCAGGGTGCTTGCGATGACGACAGCTGGAAATAAGCATACTGTACCCGTGTAGTTGTCAATATGCAGCGCATAAAAACTTATTTTTTGCAGCGATATGTTCCTCACCGGATTGAGATTGGCATCGAACGGTAAAAATTAGGTATACCTGCTCAGCGTTCTTTCTAAATTAGCATATGTTATCATAGCTTAATTATAGAATTTGAAAATTATTTGGCCTACGCAACGCATATGGCTGGCACAAGTTCATGATGGCTGCCCTGCATTACTTCATAGACACTCAGGCTTCCTGCGATTGCATCACTTTTGCATCAGCTTCAATAATTAGCCTTAAATTATAGGGAACACTTGTAATGCATTGAAAGTTTGTGAGATTTCTGGTGTCATCCTAACGGCACATAGATTTGTAATCGTCGACAGTCGACGACACACAGAAGAACTGTGCTAGATGAGATGTTTGCCTTCATCAACATAAAGCAATGTCAAGCTATCATCTAATGCTTGGTTCTTGCGAATCAATCACACCATCTTGGCCTGCATCAGCCTACAGTATGTCTCTTGCATGTGTGTGCCTCTCTTTCACACCGCACATGTCGAATCAGCTTGTAGGAGGCTTTGCGAGACAGCATTTTTGTCGTTTTTTTTTTCTGCCAATCTCTTTCAAAGCAGCCTGAGAGGAGCTATTTGATGAAGAGTTTACTCTTACATCTGCGAGGAAATTCAATGTAACGCGAGGATTTTGGGAAACTAACCAAGATTTGAATAAATATAAAACAAATTCCTGCAGGAATACGGAAGACATCCGACAGCATGACATTACTGGACAAAAAAAAGGGTTTCTCTGCAATGTGGATAAACGCAATACATTTTCTGGCACGCTGAATTCAAGTGAACATTGGCCACACTTGCGGACCTGTTCAGATAATGTACTTAATATCTAAAGGTCTCTGCGGTGATTTCTTAGTGTCTTGAGGCTTTGAAAGAGGAGCTACTAATGTATACGTCTTCTCTTGAACAAAAATTGTCCACTTGTTGTTTTTAGAAAGACGGCTTTGGTTGGCAACTTTAAATTTCTTTGAAAGACTTCATTTGTAAAAAAGTTTGGTTGGCAACACCAAATTTTTTTTGAAAGACCACAGTAAAAGAGAACCTGTTGCTGTGAACCTGCGAGTGATGTAGTTAGTATTTGAAGTTTCTGCGAACGATTATCTTTGTGTCCCTGAAGACGGTGAAGAAGGAGTTATTAATGCTTTCTTTTCTTGAAACAAAATTGTCCACTTGTTGCTTTTGGGAAGATGGCACTCTTCGCGTAAGCAAGATTTGGTTGGCAACTCCAAATTTTTTAAAGGACACAGTAAAAAAAGATCTGTTGTAAAACCAAGGCTGAAATCAGCTTGTTAACATGATATCTGAGAATCGCAAAATTTTGGAAGAAGAAAGCGTTATCAAAACTGAGCTAACGGTTTTTGAGCATTCGACCATTTGCAGTAAAAACCAAACTACAGGGTGTCCCAAGGGTAAGTACACACTTTTCAATCGTCGATATCTTTCTTCCCATAGTATCTTTTTTCGCCATTTAAGTATCATTCTGTAGAGGAGGCTTCAACTTAGATTATCAGCATAACAAACCATCGATCATCCTTCATTACTGTAGGAATACGGTGGGAACTTCAACAAGAATTTAGGCCGTTGGAGGCTATATTCTGCCTCGGAACAAAACCAAACAAGCCAAACATTCTTATACTATGGTAATAAGAGCCGCTGATTTCGAATTTGAAGTTCCCATTTTACTGTGATGCTTCTTTCCGAGGTTATCCCAGGTAAATCGTAATAACTGAATTTCCAGCATTTGCCAGAAAGGTGATTACACCGTCAAAAAAGCTAAAAACACTCGTAAAAAGTTGTGTAATGGAATCGCGTGCGCGAAAACCCTAGTACGCGATTTTTCAGATTTTTTGAAAAAGTTTTGTCAGATGGCATATTTCACAATGGTTCCACATGCTTGAAGTTCTCACCATAATCCTACAGTAATGAAGAGCGATAGGTGATTCGCTCCACACTACAAAACTAAGTTGGAGCCTCCTCTACAAAGTAGTGCTTAGATAGTGGAGAAAGACATAATGGGAAGGATATTAACGATTGAAAAGTGTGCTTACTTTTAAGACACCCTGTATATATTCTTTGTGCAGACGCAAACAAATACAAACATTTTTGCAGGGAAGACCAGCATCACATCAAAAAGTTGAATTCCACTTTTTTTATACACAGGGCTTATGTGGAGAAAAGGTAACGGACGAAGAGCAACATTAGAGCTCTGCATATATGACAAGGATTTCAGCGACGGCTATACCACCATTCGCGTTCTATCAATCAATCAATGTTTGGACGCAAATGCCATTATTGAAGGGACTATCGATGGTCATGAAATTGTACTAAAACCTCAGTTTATTGGAGAATCGTGTCCCAGATATTTTGCTCCAGGCTGTATATACAACTCACACATATTTGTCGGGTTTTCAAGCGCTGCAGCATATAGCAGCCATTATGTAAGTTTTAAAGGCTTTTCGGTAAGGCAATCAGTGTGCCAATCAACTTCTGCGATTGCGGTGCGACTCACTGACGGCCGCATCAGGGGCGGTATCTATCAATCTCCCACTCGCTGTTTGGGACATTAATAACGAGTGCCCGCACAGGCGAAAGCTCCGTCCCATGATTTATGAAAGTTTGAGGCGCGTGGCCCAAACGGACGGCAAATCGAAATCGGGCACGATCGAGCACCTGTCATGTCCAACATGGCCAAACTTGTCAGATAGGACAATACCTTCAAACATGCAGAGGCCCGATCGCCAGCTTGGCTCCCTGTTATCGCGGGCGCCGGTGCCCGCGCCTATACGGGTTGTGACCTGTGCAGAACCCCCCACCCATATGAGAGATTGATCAATACAGATGACTGATGTGATGGCAGATGTGCAGGCTTGTCACTAATTGGTGAGACCTCATAATACCCGATGTTGGGATGTTAAGCTAATAAAGTATCCACCGCAGAATCTGATTGGCATGCAATCTACCTTTAAAGGCAGTCTCCAGGCAAATCTGGAACATGGGTTTATTGTATAAACTGATGAGATGGTCCTTACTAAAGCACGCCTCAATAGCAGCGCAAATATTCATTCATGGCTGAGAAATCCGTACCCAAACCCTCCGCGCCTGCGCCGTGACCGTAAGCTGAGAATGACTTCGCCCACATCAACATTACGGCTGGGACCCATCCTAAGTCACTTCTGAGTTACGGTCACGGCGCAAGTGCGGAGTGTCTAGAGGTGGATTTCTTAGCAGTGAATGAATCATGCGTTGCTGTTTGGGCGATCGGGACCCTCTCATCACTTTCCAGGCAAAAACCCATACGCCTAGGTTAGCCAACAACTGCCTTCAATCATATCATGCCCAAATTCGATGACAAAAGGTATGCAACGTTTTTCGACGACTGGCAAATTGCTGGTTCTACTCCTTGATGTTATGTTGAGGGCTGCCATCCATCTCCTTTTAACAAATTATTTCAAAGAGCATTTTAGTTTCAGAAACTATGAGTTGATCAAGCATTTAACTTTAAAGATTCCAGATACAACTAAGAAGAGGAAAGGGCAATGTGTCTTTGCCGTTACAAGGCATTTCAAGCAAAGTCAAAGGAAAGCTTACTTTTTGCGTGCCTCCTCTCTATTGGTAAGATAATGAGCTTGATCAATTACTAATCAGTCTCCTATCTGCTAGATTCGCCAAAACTTCATGGTAGACTAAAAAATCTGTGTTACATATAACAATCGCATGCAGTCCGTGTCAAGTAAGCAGTCCCTTTGTGCAGGAATTACGCACCAAAAGTCAAGCGAAAGTTCTGCTTGCGGAGCTTTAATCGACGGTGCCTTCGTGATTGAGCCAAATGCGCGCGAAGCTGCCGCGAAACTCCGCGAAGCTTAACCAATGACAACCTACAGGCATGTAATACCGCCAACGCTTGTAGTATCAATGAAAGATTGATCGAGGTGTGTCGGTTTATCACGAACCAAGATTTGCTCCTTCGCAAGCTACTAGGTTGGCTAGAACATGATTTTGGTGATTTCCGAAAGTTCGTAGAAATGCTGTAAATCATTTTGTGTCTGGATATGTGGCAGCAGAAAGAGCCGAGCAAGGAGAATTGGATGGTTAACTTCGTTTGCTGAAAAACACTTTTTTGACGAAATGGAGCAGGAAAAAGAACAGTCAAATGTTTTTGCCGATTTTTGGTAATTCATGCCCCAACAAACGAACTAAATCTGGGCGCAGAGTACATTTGGTAACCACAAAATAGACCTCGTAATTCTTGACTTTTCATTTGCATGACCGTATATGGTCAAATTTGAGAAATTCAGATTGCCCAAAAACTGACTTCTACGTGCAACTCACACCTTTGGTTGCACAAATTCGTAAACAGCAGGTCACAATCTCCACTGTGATCCGCCATGTATCCAAATGCTGTAAATATTCACTTACCAAATTATTCCTTTGTGCACTCACTGCTGAGAAGAAACTTGGAAAATCAAAAAAAAAACGATTTTTCAGGAACTAGTCATATAAACGCTAAAAATTATCAATTGATGACCGGTAATCTTGATTATCTATAATCAAGATTACCTTTACTTATAGCCTTTATTCTCACATATATTCTATATGTGAGAATAAAGGCTTAAAGTCTCCCAAATCTTCTCCCAAAAAATCTCAGTTAACCAGCTGCTACTCGAATTGTTAAAAAATTCAAAGTTTTATTTTATTTATTTGTTCTCTCAGTAATGTAACCTACGGTCGGCTATCATGATTAACATACTCCTTTTGTATTTAGATTCGCTTCACTGCCTTTGAACAGCGTTTGTTTCATCCGGGAAAACCGTATAAGCGCAGGACATCTCTTGAAATAAATTGAACACAGTAAATTATGTCTTCAAAGAATTGTGGATTGTATTCATAGGATCGGTGACAGCGTATCATTAGGTTGTAACATAAGTCTTGAGACTCTCTAACTTACGGCGATAAATCATGCAGTTTACATTTTCAATAGAAATCCGGGGAACCATTCGATAGAACAAATCAAGCCCTACAACATGGTGCACTTTAAGTTTGCATACAAAATGTGAGTCGTACTGAAGGCTCAGAAAATCGCGGAAAATTTATGCCTTCGTTCAAAAAAATCCAACGGATCAACTTGCTCACAAAAATTGCACACCATATCAAACACTCATATACACCGTTTCTGAATTTTTTCCTCATTTGGAAATCGAGAAAACGAAGATTTCCAGGTTTTCACAAAACGAAGCTAAGCTGTTCTCACTTATGTAATTGTATACCACAATCCTCTAGAAAGGTACTGTAGATTTTCAGCTTTCCATACGCCCTAGTTTTCGAAAATTACCGAATTTAGCTTTCCCCACTTGGGTGATTCATGCTAAAATCAATATTTCTCGAAAACTAGGGCTTGTAGAAAGCTGAAAATTTACGGTTATATCTCTAAGGGATTATAGTGTACAATTGCATAAGTGGAAACAGCTTAGCTTCGTTGTTAAAATTTGAAAATTTTCGCTTTCTCGATATCTATATGAGGAAGAAATTTAGGAACGGTATATATGAGTGTTTGAAGTGGTGGGCAAATTTTGTGAGCAAGTTGAAAATTAGTAGGATTTTTTTTGAACGAAGGTATGAATTTTTTGCGATTTTCTGAGCTATCAGTACGATTCACATTTTGGATGCAGACTCAAAGTGGGCCAAAGCTAGGGCCGCAAACCTTCTTGTAGGGCATGCTTCGCTCTATCGAATGGTGCCTGCATCTCTATTGAAATGATGACTTATCGCCGTAAGAAGTTAGAGCGTCTCAAGACTTATGTTACAACCTGGTACTTTTCACTCTTTTACCTGAAAATGTTACGGTAAACTTCAGAAGACTGTTTTTTCTCCACCTTTTCTTATTTCGAAATCCGCCATATGCACATCTCTGCAAATTTCCTACTTTCAATTATATCGCTGGACCACGACTACAGGTCATGTGTGTTCCCACTGTATGCCGCTTTCTTCCAGCAATTTTGAACTTCAATATATTAGCGACCACCAGGGTCTGCTTTTCCTGTCAGGTATCTCCATGTTTTTCTATTTCATCCAAGACCTTCGTTTATTTCAAGTCCTTGCAAGACTGTCCATTCACTTTATCTGCCTAGCTCCAACTCTTTTCCTTGTGTCCTTCACCATTCGGTTCTACCTTTGGGATATAACTTTCCTCCCTTCATGCCCACAGCATCGTAGCCTCCTTTCCTGCTTTTCTGGGCAACTGAAACCACCTTCTAGATTCGCACAGTGTCGTTGCAAATGTAATCTTTCAGTGTGGCTTCTAAAGTCCATCGTAGCATCCTTGCTTTCATGACATTAAGCTTCCGCTTCTCGTTCCGCGTACAAGACCATCATCCACTGTCATACAGTGCTGCTGTATGGTTAAGGGTCCGGTACAGTTGGAACAAAAGTGCGCTAGCATTCTTTTGTTGCACAAACTCCTGTTAAGGCTCTCCCATCCAAGCGGTGTTCATCCTCCTGCGTCCTCCTCTTGCAGCATTCCTTCTACTGACAAGGGAAGGATACTCGGTCGAAGTGGCCATTTGGTATGAGCTGTATATTAGGAAACCGTCCTCCGTAAGGCAAACTCAAACCTACTTTCGCTAGGTGCCGAGCGGTTTTGTGGGGGGAGTTACAAGGCCATTTTCCTCCGGCGCAGCCAGCGCACCCAGTGATGAGCGAGGCGCTAGAAATACGCAGCAGTGTGGCAGTGGCGCAGTGGCAACGCAGCGGAGTGTGAAGCAGATGGTCGAGGGTTCGAGTCCTGTTGCTACTATTTTGTTCTGCAGTTCTGTAAAAAGTCTAATGGGTGACAGCAAACGAGAAATACTGTTTCTATGCAGTGGAAAAAAGCTAGTTACTGCAAAAAAAACCACTATTTCTGCAATAAGCTATAATCTTCTAAAATATGTAAATCTGTGGAAGTTATGATGTCACAGCAAGGGATTCAAATGATATATTAACATGTATGGAATACAACCACAAAATGCTCAAAGTAGAAGAGCTTCTCGCAGCGCGCACATCAGATAAAATAAAACGATGACAGTCAGCAGCTTCACAATTGCCTATCAAAGTCGGTGAAAAACAGTGCTGAATAGGAGACTCGAATTCGCCGGGGTGGTTGTCAATGTATCCGGCTGCATCCACGGGTATGAAAGCAAATGTTTGAATCGCGGCGAGCAAAATTGTGTGTAATGAGCGATAAGACCTTAAGAATGGAATCCCTATGATGCAAGGTAAAGTTCAGATCAAGAGCCAATAAATGCGATGTGAATCGATTGCAATTTTGCAAGTGCTGCGTTGCGAAAAGCTCTTCTACTTTGAGCATTTTGTGGTATTCCATACATGTTAACATATCATTTAAATCCCTTATTGTGACATCATAACCTCCACAGATTTACCTATTTTTGAAGATTATAGCTTATTGCAGAAATAGTGGTTTTTTTGCAGTAACTGGCTTTTTTCCACTGCATAGAAACAGTATTTCTCGTTTGCTGTCACCCAATAGACTTTTTACAGAACTGCAAAACAAAATAGCAGCAATAGGACTCAAACCCTCGACCATCTGCTTCGCACTCCGCTGCGTTGCCACTGCGCCACTGCCACACTGCTGCGTATTTCTAGTGCCTCGCTCATCACTGGGTGCGCTGGCTGCGCCGGAGGAAAATGGCCTTGTAACTCCCCCCCACAAAACCGCTCGGCACCTAGCGAAAGTAGGTTTGAGTTTGCCTTAAGGAGGACGGTTTCCTAATATACAGCTCATACCAAATGGCCACTTCGACCGAGTATCCTTCCCTTGTGAGATATGAATGTTTAGGCTATGACGTTGTCTTCTTTAGCTCTATACCATCGGTGCTTTTGGTTCCTAGAGATTATTTCTCCCGCTTTCATATATTCTGTCTCTCTGCCGTTGAGCTTTAGCCACACACTTCTAGCGTGTTTTTCCCAGTTTTGTACCTCATTTTGTAACTCCTTTCCGCTGCTTGCTATCAAGACCACATCATTTGCGCAGAAGAGTGTCCAAGAGGTTCACGTCTAAACAGTTTCATCACTGCATTCATCACAGTAACGTTTCAATTTCTCTGCAGTTGTTGTAGACGACTTGAAGCGTTGTGGTAGATAAACTTTAGCCACTGAACGTACTCCTCTGGTCCCATGTGTTTTTGTAAGGTCCACTGTATGACTTCGTGGAGCACCTTATCGAAGGCTTTCTTTAGGACCAGGAAGGCTGCCAATTCTTTTGCTTCCTTCTATATTTCTCCATCCTCAACTCAAAGGAGTTGTACCACCTCTTTCACGAATCCGCACTGGTTCGATGACAATTTTATGCTATCTCGATTATTCTCTCAATGATTTTTGGGATGTGGCTCATCGGTCGGTAGGATGCGCGATCTGCTATGTTTTCTTTGCTCTTCTATTTTGGGATTATCGGTATCGTTGTGCTGGTGCTCAAGTCACGATACTCTTGCTCCTTATGATTTAAAGGACACTTCTTGATCATGAGGCTCCAGACTCACATGTTTTCCAGAACTCGTTGGTATGTCGTCTGGACCAGTCGCATTGCCTTGTTCTTCTTACGACTAGCCGTACTTCCTCTTCCGTGACTGCTGATACTGGTCCTTTTATGAGACTGCCTTCTCGGATGGAATTGATGGTTCGGTGTGTGGTGACCATTTCTTTGAAGTAGGTTCTCCATCTTTCGGTCCCCTTTTCTTAGCGTCTTACCAAGTTTGTCTTTGACATGGAGGAAATGTTTCATTGCGGATTGCGAATTGCGGATTCTGCTTTTCTTCTCGCCCTCCGTTATCTTCTCCCTTGCAAGACTCTAGATGACCGCAGAGCTCTTTCATGTACATCTGGTTTCCCTTCTTTACAAAAGCATTCGCAACGTGTTTGGCTTGTTAGTATGTCTGGCATTCCTCTTCCGTCATCGTCATATGCCATGGACCTATCTTCAAGTATGCTCAGAATCGCTCTGTCTCCTCTTGCAGGCTTGGGAGATTTGTTAGAAATGCTTACTTCACCGTGCTGTTGGTTTTCAAACTCAACCATTCAATGCGTGTCCTGGTCACTGTGGCTCTCTTGATGTGAGATAATGAGATTTCCTGGTATGAGATCTAATGTCGAGGAGCAGTGGTCTGTGTAGAGGTATGCAGCTCTCACCGAGACCTTGTGGCGCATGGGAGGTAATAGCCCATGCTACTTTTTTCCCAGTATCTACTCTTATGCTCATTAGAGGGTCGCTTATGCGCTCAATGACAACTAGCAGCTCCTTAAAGTTTCCGAGTCAGCTATGCCAACTCTGTTTCTGGAGTAGTACCATCTGAGAGGAGCTTACAACCATTTCTGATGTCGCGTGACTAGTGCCGCTCATCTTCTTTTACTATAATTTGATTCGTAGTCTCTTCAAGAGATCTGTTTAGTTTCGCGAACGCCATGTGAGTGTATAGGCGCCGTAAAACCTAATTGCCCGCGCCCAGCCTTGAACACCAGCGTAAGCGAGCGGTCGTCGCGAACGATTGTCGGCGTTCACTATATTCTAAGAAATTTTTCTTTGACTTTCATGTTGCTCTCGCCAATGCAAGGTATATCTTGACGAAAGCTCCCTTTAAAAGTTTATAAAAATATATGTGGAAAGGGTGCGCGCTCACTGTCGCTCGCAAAAAGCCTGTAGCGCTTCGGGACCAAACGTTTCCAGCCGCGCCGCGCGTTGGTGTTCAAAGCGATGCGTGGGCAATTAGATTTTACGGGGGCCTGTACTCGTATTGATGATAGCTGAACGGAGAGTTGCGATTGGTGCCTCTGGTGAACTAGCCGCTTTAGCCGCCCCTCTTGACTTGCTGAGAGATAGCAGTTGCCCTCTGTTCGCATTCGTCGTTCCAACGAGCGTTGTTTCCAGAGGACGCTTCAGGCTACTCAAGTTACTATAAGATGTTTCTCAGCCGAACTGTCGCATGTCCTTTTTTGTAAAAGCAGCTTGACGCTGGGACTGCTGTGAGCAGAATTTTGCCGCAGAAATTAGGCTCTCGAACGCGACCTTCGTGGCGATGTTAAAGCACTAACCACTAGACTAATGTGACCAGACAACACTACAAATACTGACACTAATACTGGCTATCGCAGATAGCAGTTTATGAAATATATACGTACAAGTACATGCATACATGCGAGTTTCAGGTATTCGAATTGGCCGAAGATAATTTTTGCCTTAGAGTTCTGGAAAGCTCAAGGTGTGGCGCACGTATTTGTCTACCATCATTCATCGACGAAAAACGTGTACCAAGTGCTTGATCATTACGAAGCAGAGGTGATATTTTGCTAAAAAAGCTAAAAGCTAAAAGCTGCTGATACAATTATGCACGTTTATTTTTTACACAAAGATTTAAAACAGTCATATTTTCACTATTTTATGTTAACCCTTGAGGATCCCCAGGGAATCACCTCTCATCTTTATCATTCATCTTTAACTTAGTGAAAATGTTCTGATATTGTGTTGAGGATCACTTGCTAAGCATCTTTATGGTAGAAATTACTGAAATTTCAGCATTCAAAAGCTTCGATGAACCACTGCTCACGAGCCAGGGGTTATCGAAAAATGCTCAATCTTCAGATTCAATCTCTCCTGTCAAACATGTTTAGCAGTGCCGTAGTATATTCTCGGTACAGTTTTCAGCGTTTTCACCGAGTTTCACAAATTAAATGGTTTTGAAAATTAGAGCTGATGGCCTGGGAATCCCAGGGGATCAGTCAAACCCAACCTTGAATGACAGTAACCTAGCATTTAGTATTCGCAACTATGAGGGCATAAGAAACTTCATAAGCCAGATAGAGAAAGAAGAAGGAAGATATCTAGAATAGGGATATATGACGCGTCTCCTCTCGGGACCTACATACGGCCCTTAAAATATGCAGCGGATCGCAAAGCGCTCTCCATTACTGCAGGACTGCGATAGAAACTTTTCAAAAGGTTTTGCAGACTGAGAAAGAATCTAGTTCTGAAAATAGTCCAAAAAGCGAATATTCGCTAATAAGTTGCTAACTCGAGATACGAGCATTTTACATGCAGACTTCTATCAATAATTGTGTTAGGTAGATCTGAAGATTTTCCATCTTCACTATATCCGAAAGTTCTCCATGTTCAGAGTGGTTTACAAACCTGTGCAAGGTCATTCACTGAAGCAGCTTATTTGAAGCGCTAATCGCGGTGTTCAAATTTTTTTTGTAGAAACTTTTTGAAAATGTAGCTAGTTTCAAAGATGGCTTGCCACTTAAAGTTGCTACAGTAATCTACAGTGACTAGGAGAATTAGTGATCCATTCCATGGTGTAAATCTATGTGCTCTACAGAATGTACATGAAAGTTGGCAAAGGACCTTTTGGGAAGAGAAAGTTTATGGTCATCAAATTTATGATCAGTGTATACAGTCGAGTAGATTTCCTGCTTAATATAGTGTCCCTGCAGACGCGACAACGCTGGGGCGTCAATAATTGCCTGACGAGTTCCGAGTTAGTGTTTTCCAGTGTTTTTCTTGCTTATTCTATGCTTTCTAGGTGATTCGTCGCTGATAAAGAAGAAAAGGGTAAGTTAGAGAGTAGTTTCTGTTTTCTGAGAAGTTCTATCATCGCATATTCACGGATATCCACATGGAAACAGTTCGCGTCAGCTCCTTGTCTATTTTTTTGTCACTTCATGTCTCTTTCTTCTTGTTAGGTACTTTTTTGAATGCTAGTGGGTTTTTACGATTGACTAATTGTCTGTTGATTGTCTTTATCACATGAAGTACTTGATTAAAATGTTATTTCTTGTGGATGAAAGCCAAAGTAGCTGCAAGACAAGCCAACTAGCGTTCAAAGAAACGCCTCACAAGAAGGAGGAGGTTTGAAAGAAGAAGTGACAGAAGAAAAGGAAATGACAAAAAATAGGCAAGAAGCTACGCGAAATGCTTCCACATGGATATCTGTGAATAGGCGATGATAGAACTTCTCAGAAAACAAAAACTACTCTTTAACTTACCCTTTTCCTCTTTATAAGCAACGAATCAACTAAAAAGCATGAAATAAGCAAGAGAAACACTGGAAAACACTAGCTCGAGAACTCGCAAGGTATTTATTGACGCCCCAGCGTTGTCGCGTCTGCAGCGACACTATATTAAGCAGGAAATCTACTCGACTGTACATACTAGTGGGACAACCTGTACAGTGCAACCATAAAAATGCTCTCCGTTTTACGATTTTCCCTCAATCTGTTCTTGCAAAAGAATGTGATTGCCAATGCTGTTACCACAAAAAGAGGAATGGATTTATAGTTGGTGCTTCTGCTCTCCAAAATTTGTCTAGACCTTTTGAAAACTGACCCAGAGTTTGAAAAGCGAAAACACTTACAGTAAGCTGTGCATGAAATACCTTTTGTCCTCAGTTAGGATCCGGAAGAGCTTGAATCCTTAAGCAAAACAAAGGTTATGATCAGGGAGCGTGGGATGAGGAAGGACACATAAGGGTCGTGTTGAGGGGCCAGAGAGGAAGGATGTCGTGATTGAAGTGACGTTCGTGACAATGAAATGTGATATTTGTTAGCAGTATGTCAGACTATTGAGATATCAACCTTTTACCATATTTCCTATTTCAAGCATAAGAACGAAGCTTATTCAAAGCATAATTGGTAACATTTTCGTGATTAGTATGTCAGCTAACACCCGGACCAAGTTTCGGCAATTTTTGAAGTTTTCTTGTACTTGACTACCTAGATAAAAGGTTATCTTTAAGCATCGCTAACCCTTTTGCACTCAATACAAAGCATTTCTTGTTGGCCCAAATCAGGAAACTCACTTCGAACAGCGCCAAACTGTGGAAATAGGAGCACAGCCAAATCGCGTTTATCGCTTTTTATTTCCAGTCTTTATGTTATAAGTGTTGATGCAGTTAAACATTTTGGCATGAGTGGTTCGCTACCTACCCTAAACTGCAATCATTGAGGTGTCTCAATTCTGCGTTTTTGATTATAGTGGATCTTACGCCTATGAGGAGTTTGATGGGGTTCGTTACTTTTGTTTTCTTTTAGACCTTGAAGAAGGCGGAGTTGAAATGTCAATCGCACAAGTAAAGTTTTTACCAAATTTGCCATAGCAAACAAACATAATGAGTGAATGCCCTTTGCGCGCTATCCGAAAGAAAAGTAAGCAAAAATCACAAAAATGAACGGGGCGGAGAGCATTTATGACATTTTTCAGGGAGCTGTAGAAGTATAACAATATCAGGACTGTAGGGATCTGAAGTCTTGGCTATCAGAAAATGAAAAAAAAACTGTCGAGAGTCGAATTTCACCCAGACTCATTTTCCCTGTAAATTTTGTGGTAATGGTAAGAAAAACCTTGAAAGGCTAGTATGGTTAGAAAAGCCTTGAGAAGGACCTGACATTTCGATGACAAATGTATTTAGAGGAGCATCACAAAAATTGTGCATTTGTTCGACTTGACGAACATTGTGATATACCAAAATTCGTGATATCAATTAACTCGTCATTTATGTTTTAGGGTTATATTACAATTGTTTCTTGGCCTTCGCTTCCTCGCAACGCGTTTGAAGATCCTAACCAATCGGTCTACCGTGTAGCTCATTCGTTAGCGCACAACGATTGTCTGATGCGACTCACTACTGAATTCGGAGCTGTCATCGATGTTGATGAAGTTATTATACCTAGGTTAGTTCCACCTAGAACATATTACTCAGATTTTGCAGAGATTCCAGGAAAGGTACACTTATGTCCTTTATAATCGACAGTTTTGCTTCGAACGCATCAGCCGGTGCATTATTGTTCCAGCATCGCACTCTTTCTATGCATCCTTCTCATGCTGGACAAAATTTCACGTTTGAAGCGCTAGACTTCTCTGGCATCTGGAATGCTACAGAGCATGAGTACAGAGGCCCACCGAAGGTACGCTTCAAACGTATTTGAATGGTCATAGGGCGGCAAAAACACTGTTGTTCCCTTAGAACAGCAAGAGAAATAGCAAGAAGAATGTGCGCAGTTTATGACTTTTTCTATCAATAAGAATGCTGACGTTAGAACAAACTTTACCATTCCAACAAAAATTACTTCAAACTCCCCAATTTTACTGAAAAATGCAGGCAAAAACTAGCAATTTTTTCACGTTTGCGCTATGTAGAAACTGCAGCGGTGCAGCATATTTCGGCCGAAGTTACGACAGTGAAACTCACAACAATTGAAGTCCCAATTATGTTGTAGACAAAACATTTCCTTTTATTGAGTTGGCACATAAGTTTTACAATTAGTAATTTTCCTCTTTTTGGCTATAACGCATTCATTTTTGACCAAATGTAGATGAGTTAGCAGGCTACAAAGGAGAAAATTCATGTATTTTTCGAAAGCCGATCAAATTCGAATTTAAGGGTTCGAAAAACAAAAATAAAGCCGTTCTCAGCTTGAAACAAAGGATACAAGCCGAAACTGTGCACATCATTAGAAATTTCTCTATCAACAATCTGGGCAAAGTTCCGGCTTGATATATCTGATCCAGACTGAAAACGACTTCATTTCTGTTTACAGAGCCTTGAATTTTAAGCTCAACCAACTTTCGAAGAAAAGACTTTTGTTAGCGAAGTGGATTTTCTCCATTTCGCTAACAAAAATCAAACTCTACGCCATTTGCTGCTTACTTCCTAATCTACATTGTGTTCAGAAATGAATGCATATCTATAAGGTTGGCTAATAAATAAGTTCGGTCGCTTTTGCGGCTCTTACAAATACTGCAGACATATCTCCAGTTTTTGGTATCTTTGGAAAGAACACTTCAGTGCGAATTGGAGTATGAATTCTGTTTGGGAAGAACGTATCTTTCAAGGAGAAAAAAAGCCACAAAGAAGTACAAAACTCCATTTTTCCCATAGTTCTCAAAAACGAGGAAATCTGATTTTTTTAATAAAAGGTTTTCAAAATGGCTGATCATAGTTTTTATTGTTGCTCGCTGAAGAGGGAAACTCCTCTATTTCCAAATACAAAGTCGCTGTTCTTTACATCCATTATAGCATGAAAACGAAGCTTATAAATTCAAAGAATTGAGCTTTTGGAAACTTAGTCATAAGGTATAACTGTCTTTACTGATAATGGAGTATCCTGAATATTTGACATGTGATAAGATGAAGATTTCAGCTACTTTTCCACATTCACGCAAAAAACAACAAGAAAAATTTCGATGAAGTTTGCATGCCAAAATAAACTTATTCTAGCCAACCTAATAAAAAAAGTTACGAAACTATTATATTTGTAAAATTATGTGCCAAACAGACCTAATTCTACATCATTAGTTGAGATTTTCAAGTCTGCAACATGTTTGGAGCTTATAACAGCGACGAACTGAATGAGACGTTTCTACGAGAATGTTGTGGTCTGTATGCTTACGATTTTCTTTTTGGCCACTTAATATTGAGGCATGGTAAACAGAAAAAGTTTATATGCTATGTGTTTTTTAGCTTAGACTCAGTGTAGTCAATTAAATAATTTGCGGGCGAAAACAATGCTAAAGTACTGCGACGCATCAGTCAGTTCTTGTAAATGGAAATGGGAAAGGTAACAATCCAAAAGAAACTCTTAAATAGTCAATCTTCAATGTCTTATTCACATAAGCAATCAAAAAACGTTTGAAGCCTGTACGCAGCAATAGCAAATATAAGCTGCGTACAATAGCAGATGCAAGGAGCAAGAAAAGGCAATGGTTGAAGGAAAGGGATTTTCGTGTAACTTGTTCTCCTTGTTTGAATTTTACCTTCTTAAACTATCTGTTTTCTCGGTAGTCTGCTGAAGCTCTTAATAATGTATTATAGAAGAGGAGGTGCGTCAAAAGTCTGGAAACTTAGTAATCTTTCAAAAAAAATATTAGGGAAGCACCTAGAAACAAAAACGGTACAGAATTTCAACCCTTAAGAAATATAGCTCAGCTGTCAAACAAATCAATCTCTTTTGATTTCGACGCAGCTTTTCAAAATCTTGGTGAATCCACCTATCATGGCACGCTGGTAGTCGCAATGATATTCGTCTCACATTTTCGGTACTAGTTTCTTTCGCTTGGCAAATGTGCAGCATCATACAGCAAGCTTGTGGCTACAACCCATTTCGATGAAAACTTTTTGCAAAGTTTGGGAACAAAAATATTGGGATTTTGATTGAAGGCATATGCACTTTGCATACTAGAAATTTGGCTACAATTGCGCGAAGGAAAAGAATCATCTCCTAAAAATTTGAAACGATTTCATCGACCAAGAATAAATACATATACAAAGACCACACTGAAAGAATATAGTCTTACAATCAAAAGACCGCTGCGCTTTTGAAGCTCAAAAACTTCCTTTCAAAGAGAGAGCCATTGGAACGTAGATAACAGTTGCAGAATTTGATTTTTTGTCTTCGAAAGAATAGTTTCCTCAAAGCAACCACTATATGCTAATGTAAAGCCTCCTCTACGCTGTGTATATTGAATTTTTGTGGAATTAATTGTGAATACTAGAAAATTAGATTTTCTCGCTCTTACTGGTTCAATAATTCAGTTCTTACAATCTTACAAAAACATATACAGCTATTTGAAGTAGAAAAATTACATTTTCCAGAAAATAATTGCGGCATTATTTGGAATAAATTCAGAATCAAAACCCAAGTAGCTTTTCAATCGCAATACTGCAAAGTTGACTTCCAGACTTTTGATGCACCCGGAATGAAGTATATTTTCAGGTTATATTTCGGGCAGAAGAGTTGGAGTCAGTAAACACTCACAACGTGAAGCAGTTCAGAACAAACTCTACAACTATAAACGTGAGCATAATTTTGAAAAGCATTTGTTCTGGGTGCAAAATAAGAAAGCGATATCACTTGGCTCCCATAAGAACTATAAATGTTGAGTATTCAAAATGTTTAATCAGTAGGTGCGGTTGAAAGTATCTGCTCAAAAATTCGTGACAAATGAGGCTCAGTTGATGAAAAAAAAATGCCACTCTCATGAAGGCGAATTTGCTATACCCACAACGAGAAGTGTTCAGATAGCCGTAAAGGACGCTGCTCTCCTACATCATCGGTATAACGTTGGAATAGAAAGGATTGGCAACAACTCACAAGGCATTGATTTACTGCCGGACAAAGCCGATCTAATTGCTCTCCAAAACATTCTCAATTACCGCAAGCGTACTATCTTTCCGAACGGTGCTGATTTTCACTTTAGCACACAGATGGAACTTGCAACTTGTTTGGAACAGTAAGTTCACTGTGTTGATAGTTAGAAGGAGAGAAAGATACTAGATTTAGATGGCGAATAACGCAACATGAATGTAAAACACCCATATCAAGCTGTGCAAGCGTTATGCTTCCTTTGGAGGACTGGCAGTTTACGAAATTGAACGAACAATTTCACACATTATAGTTATTATCATCATAAAGTATTGTTACGATGTTTGTAATTAATCAAAAAATTTCTTTTGTGAGAAACTCAGTATTTAGCTTGAATAGCTCGATATCCTTCACCGCCTGAGAGCAAGCAGTATTATATTTAATCGACCTGAAAGTTCCTGCCGTTTTTGAACCGATTTTAGACCATCTAGGACAAGATGAACAAAAGTTTCAGGTAAAGTTCGATGCAAAATTTCTTCGTCTTTCTAACAGTCATGCTTTTGTCCTAAGTTTTGATGGTGGCTCGAATAAACGTCATAATCTCCAACACGTGATTTAGCCACCCTTATTTACACCATTTTTATTCCTCACTTTCAACTTTGAGAAGGACTACAGCGACTATTGGATAAAGTACACAAAATGCAAGACATCAATTTTTTGAGCTTCTTCGACTGGGTTGCGAGTATTTCTAAAAGAAATTTTTTCAAAAGTCTTCATTGCGAAGTCGTGGAATACGCAAACTCTTCAAACACCAATTATTTTGGAACTTGGAAGCTTCAGAAATCGAGCAGGATTAAGCACTAAACATGTAAGAAGAAAAATGAGCGTCGCCTCCGAATACTGATTTTCAAATTTCGGTTACAGGAATGTTTGTAAACTAAAATTACGGTGATTGTATTCTCGAAATCCTCGTGAATCAGGGGATAGAAACAGTTAACAGAAAGAGAAGAACAATCCGCATAGAATGGTACCCTAGTTGCTCGTTGTCTGATGTTCAGGTTTGGGATGACCAAACATGGAGTTTCGTGGCATCAAAGCATCAAAATTTTGAAAATACAGCTATGAATGCTGTATTTTCAAAATTGCTGAATGCTAATGCCAAAAATGCTCCGCCGAGCATTTTGTTCACTCCAACATTGATCAAAGCTCTTTTAGAAGTTATCAGGTTGTCCTATACGTGTCGCATCAGGAACAAGTTTTTGAAAAGAGAAGAAATTTTACGTTTTAAGAAAGAAAAAAAAATCAAAAAGCGCTTGGAATGTTTTTATTCCTACTCGGCTCGGGATTTATGGCTTATTCCAAAGCAAGAAAGAAGTTTCGCGCCAATTTGATACATGCCAAACAAAATATTACAATTATTGAGTTTTCGAAATTTGTTGAGTTACTGGAAAATCTTCAATCTGCTTTCCAAACAGCTCAAACTTCCTAACTGCCTCCAATACATTAGATTTTGCAAAAGTCTATAGAGAAACGAAAAAAAGATAAGTGATGGAGTTTTTGGAGGAAAAAATGGGGTTGAAGCGTAGCCTTTTGTGCCCCTTCCCCCCTCCCCCCCCCCCCGTATACGCGAGATAAGGTTTTGCCAAAGTTTCTAAAGTTGTACAGAAAAAAATGTAACAAAACCTATGCCACGCCTAATCCACATAAGACATACATTTAGACGTTTGTTCAGCCTCATAAGCAAGTTTTATTGACAGAAGAACGTTACCACCCTCTTTTATTCCGCTGGACAAGTCCAACAAAATCACCATTCAGAGTTTGGCGTTGAAGTAGTAGCTACCCCTGCATTACGCAAAGCACGTGAAACAGAGACATACAGACACACAGCAAACGTAGCGCCGTGGAAGCGGCTCAACGGTAGAGACCGGTGGTATATCATCACTTATTGTAAGTAACCAACAATACTGCAATAGGTAATGATTTATTGGCAAAAATATATGAAAGGATCTCAGAGGTCCAACGAGGCTAAATAGATGATGCAGGTGGTTTGGGGTGAAGGCGGCATCAGCCGCTCGGTGGCTGGAAGGTCTCATCAATGAATCTCCTTTCCTACGGCTTTGCTTCTCGTCGACCACGCCCTGAACGAATGAATCATAATATCGCATTCTTAAACGATCTCTGATCTCCTACAGTTTCCGATCTCTTACACCTCCCCCATTTACCAACAAGTCCGTCATCGGACTTAGACGGAGACGTAAGGGGTCGGGATGTGACTTCAAAGAAAGTTAAAGAAGACATACCATTATGAAGGTGGAAGATATGTGCTGAGCTGCGCAGCTTGAATGACAGACCGTCTGCTGTTGGCCCATTGGATGATCGTTGTCCATGAATTGATCTTTGCTAGGGATGGCACATGCCCCAGGAGGAACAAGTTATGACGTGCGCGGGTTAGTGCAACGTTCAAACGTTTGCGGTCGTCTAGAAATTCGGTGGAGTCAGGGTCGATATCGGTACGAGTTGTAAGGAGGATGACAATATCTTTCTCGCGACCCTAAATTGAGTCAATGGTGGCGACTTCCACGTGGGTTTGTTGGGCGAACGTTGAGAGACGACGAAGTTGTTCTTTGTAAAACGTTAGCATGCACATGGAATCCGGCTGAATGTGGCGAGCTCTTAGACTCTCGACGATGGCTTGACAGACTTGTGCTTCAGCATCGTTGTAGTACGAGCGGCTTGCAGCACGTTCTGCGTTCCCGGCAACATTTAGCATTAGAAATGGGGTACGTCCGTCTGGCACTCGCCTGACATTGAAAAGCATGGATCGGTGTGCTTCTTGTACGCCATTTTGTAGTGTTCCTCCATACATGAACGTGTTAGCGCTAAGTCGTTGAGTTCGGGGTGGGCTCGATAAGTGGTAACCAAGGGGGCAACGGGGACAGCTCGTGCCGCTGTCAAGACGTCCATGGTACTTCTGGCTCCGTATTTGGCCAAGTTACTCGACCGGGGGCAGCGGACATGGGGGTCCAATTGATGGACATCACCAATACATATATGGCGGGCCTGCGGCAAACGATTTGCCATTGCAATTAGAACCGGCTCCGGTCTTTGAGAAGCCTTGTCCGAGACCAGGACGGCGTAATTGGGCAGGTAGGCTTCGGAGAGTCCCTTGGGGCCGGACGTGTTCAACAGCGACGCTGTGGTTAAGCAAATAATCTGGGGTGCGCTCACTCGAAACATGATCTTCACCATTTGGTTGATGGTTTCCGAGACATCCTTCTCAGCCAGGATGTATTCATCCCGTTGCTGCTCCGTAAGCTCTTGGTTAATCTGGCCGTGATAGAACTCGTATCGTAATCGGCCGTCGCAGATTCGTTGACAGGTGCTCTTATCCTGTGCATTCAGCTGCGGAGCGAACTCGTCACCAAGACGTGTAACTATTGTTAGAAACCAACGATAGAAATGCCAAAAACAGAAAAAGAGGGCTTTTTGCTGAGTGAAGGAAAATGCAATAAGGAGAGTTGGAGGAGGAAGAGCTGAGAACCAGCAGAAATATTTTGAAAGATATGGTGGCTATATCGCGAAAAGCTTTAAAAAACTGCGTGTGCATAAAAACAGGGGATTTTCAAACAAGTACAAAAGTTATTCGAGAGAACAGTGAGAAAAAAACTAGCGCAAAACGAACGTAAATGTGGTGTGCTTTCGAATGTAGAGAGAAGGAAAATACTTCAAAAATTGCAGGAAAAGGAAAAACAGTAACGAAAATACATTTAGAAAAAATAGAGCAAAAGAAGGGATCAGAGTGGGGTTGAGCTTAAAGATATCAAGAAAAGAGAGCCATGAAAAGTAAAGGAAATTCTCAGAATGCAGAAAAATTCTGATAACATGTAATAACTGTTGATTCGGGAAGGGACGCGATCACGCGTAAAAATATAGCGAAATAGAATTCAAAAAAGAATTTTCTGTCAACTCAAATGAGAAAAGACAAGTCAAACGATTATTATACTACCAACCTTGCAGAAGAAAGAAAGGAAGCAGTAAATGATCTGGCTATTGTAACGAAACAATAAGAATGAAAATGACTCACCAGTGAAGCTGGCGGCCTGCGCAGGCGAGACGAATGAAGATGGCATGCGTTATCAAGCTTGCGATCAGGCCGGCTCATGCTAGAACTACATCGATTGAAGGAAAGCATGCATGCGGGGGGACTTACTTGATAAAAACGAACACTTTGATCGAGTAGTGATCTTGCCGAGCGCTATATCAAACTGCTGAGAAAAAAACGAAAAGAAATGCGAACCAACATGTGGGCAACTGAACCAGAACCACTGAAATGCAGAAAAATGTTTTATAACCCAGCTTCATTACTCTGCGCGCTTTTCGACTGCACTCAATATGAACATTACTGCCCCTCTTCACTATACTGAACTTAGGCCCACCACAACAATACAAAAACGGTTCGCTGCTCGGCACTTCTGTCCCTGCAGGGGAATCCACTTTTCTCTTATCTTCTTAGCCGGCTTACACAAGACTGGGGGCTGCTGGGTTTCTCTCCCTCTTTCTTTGTTTATTGTCGACATACAATTTTTTTTGCCGACAGTCTACTACTATTTTTACTACCGGTAGTTTTCCTTTGAAAAGTTAGACTTTCATTTCAAGGAAAAAAACCGTCGTTGTACATCAGACTGTCATCATTAATTTACTTTAAGCACCTGAGTTTTGATGGGACACGGCTCCGAGGTCACATCAAAACTCTAAACGCTGTGAAAAGAGAAAAAAATACTTGAAGCGCGGTTTCCTCTTTCTGCTGCCTGCCACAATTATTTCCGGTGGGGAACCCAGCAGGGTTACTACGGAATTTAAACCGGACCTGCCTCGCTCATGTGGATCGAAACCACTCGGCTGCTACCAGTAAACGTAGCGCCGTGGAAGCGGCTTACTCAACGGTAGAGACACGGTGGTATATCATCATTTATTGTAAGTAACCAACAATACTGCAATAGGTAATGATTTATTGGCAAAAATATATGAAAAGATCTCAGAGGTCCAACGAGGTTAAATAGATGATGCAGGTGGTTCGGGGTGAAGGCGGCATCAGCCGCTCGGTGGCTGGAAGGTCTCATCAATGAATCTTCTTTCCTTCGGCTTTGCTTCTCGTCGACCACGCCCTGAACGAATGAATCATAATATCGCATTCTTAAACGATCTCCGATCTCCTACAGTTTCCGATCTCTTACAACACTAAGCACTCTCTCTCTGATACGGAATTGCTTCCTTCTTCAACAGCCGTTTTCAGCAGGTTTCCAGCAATTTTTACGAATCACGACTCCTTTCTAAGATTTCACTTCCAAAATTGCTAAGCAAATCAATCCCTACATGCTGTACTTCGCATCTCCCCCTCGATAATTGGTCGCAGTCGTTGTCCAACTATTGCTTCTTGATGTGGACGAGCCACATGGCTACTTTTGCTAAACATATGAACGTTGCAAACAATCCTCAAATTCCTCAAAGTTTCTCAAGTACACAAATGCATACAGTCTTATTGAAAATCTGAATTATTTATTTTCTGGAGCCCGTTTGCATATTAATTTCCAAACTTATCAGCAAGTCGAGTCAAGCCTTTCAGGTATGTGGTAAAACCATGGGCTGCGCTATCCCCACAAATTTCACAATTTCTAAGATTTGCTGGATAAATGCAAAATCAATATTGCTTCGAAAAAAAAATTTTTTTTAATGTTACTGTAGAGAATCCTCATCGACTATAATGTCTCCCTATTTTCCACATTTGCGGATTAGTTGAGAGAACGGCACAAATATTAGATCTGACCTAATATATTTTGCCAAGCTGTCAGTCGAACTAAAAAATTTTCTGGTTCCATATTTAGCAAACACTCTTGTGAGATAACTTAAAAGATTTATTTGCAGAAAAAAATCCCCGTAAGAACACATTATAATTAAACAGACACGCTTCTCAACAAAGAATTACTCAACCTTATTATAATTCAAGGTTAGACAAAGCGATTTGAACGGTTAAAGGCAGTGGATCGGCAAATCTTAGCAAATCGGGAATTTTACGCGGTAGGTTGCTTATCACCTAGGTGTGAAAGCAGTGCAGTCCCGGTCGCACAGCATGTTTTCATAGCATTGGTGGCTGCCCGCCGCAATGCTATAACCATTGGGTCCCGCCACGATTCGGCGTCAGTGCTCCACTCGTCCAATTTCCAAGCAAAGGGCATTGAAAAGCGGTCGTTTTCGCAATTTTCAAGCTCTCCAAAGTAGACGGGATCAGCGTATTGGAAACCCCAGGTAAGCGAAAATTTGACTAGGTCAAAATTTGCCGAGCCACTGCCTTTGAGTCCAACAAAACAGCATTCGACAATCAGATGGTAATGGGCAAAGGAAATCCAAAGAGAATGAAATCATAGTAATATATTTTAGTAAAAAGAGTCAGAAGTGTTTTATTCTCCAACAAAGTCTGCTCAAGTTCTGCACGCCTCATCAATCCGCTGGTTTTGTGAGGCGAACTTCCAACTGAAACAACGCGTTTGCAGAAACGGAAAGAATTAATGTAAGTATTTTACAATAAGTTTCCATGTCATTTCACAATTTGTTTTGCTTCTGTTGTAACTTCAATTGAATGGTAATGCAAAATTAAGTTTTAGAGACGAAGCAGAAAAAGATGGATAGTGTTTTATCGAAACCTTTAGAAGTTTTGCTAGATTATGGACTTGATTATCTGAACTCTGCTAGTGCTACTTGTCAACAGTTTTGCTGGAATGCAAGATAGTCTTATCGGAAACAAAACTTTTTTTTCAGAATTTTAGGTCTTTTTCAAAACCTAACATCTTTGTTGTGTGGACTCCAATCTGGACAACGGTGTGTAATGACGTCTGCTCCCTTTTGCCAGATTGTGACAAATGTTTTGAAGCTAGAAGGACAACTCAAATAATCGCGGGGGCAGGCGGCCATGCGAATTTTGAGCAAGCGGGCACCGGAAAAATAGTTCGCTAATTTCATGCGGTCCATCTGCAGAAATTTGAAAGAATGTTGGCCAGTTTTTAGAGGATTGCTCGGAGAAGTATCGTGGTTTTTCTATAGATTAGTTGCGGCGCATTGGCCGCATTCTTGCGGACTTTCCGCGACTATGCAAAATTATTGAGGACCGCACAGCCCTCAGGTACTTTCCGCTAAGAGAAAGTACCTCAAACTCGAGTAATTAAGCCATCGGTGACACCTCTGCCACATACAGTCTCATCCTTACTCGGCGTATGCCCGAAACTGCGTTAGAAGAGTCCTAGAGCTTGCTGAAAGTTTAGCCAGCGCCCGCTGAAAGAAGATATTTGCCGAGCGCTTGCAGAAAATGCTGTATTGTTGCCCGCTGGAAGAATATGCGACCGTAAAGGAAGTGCCGCCCGCTGAAGATTTGGCAATGCCCCAAAATTTTGCTGACCGTCTGCAGAAAAGCGCGAGTTTGCGGACCGCCTGCCCCGGCGATTATCTGAGAAGTTTTCCATGCTCGTTTCGCTAAACTTGCTCATCGGGTCGCAGAAAAGCGAGTTTTGCATTTGTTCATTAAATTTTCAGATAGTCAAAGTTGATTGACTGCAATTTTTGTTAATTTCCTGTACAAGTTCAAAGAACGGTCTCCCCCTCCCCCCACTATGAAGTGTTACAGACATCATAAAAACAAAAATAGCTTACTGAGCAGCTCTCTGTTTATCTCCTTTCTGTATCGGTCGGGAACATTAGCACTACGAAGAATCATCTCCAGTTTTTGCGTATGTTCCATAATCTCTTCTCGGTTTTCTCCTTGACGAATTATAATATAATCTTCAAAATGATTATAGAAGTCGCAGTACCTAGTGAAGTAAACTAAATTCAAGAACCCATTAATAAAGTACAACGTACCAATTCTGCGGTGCGAAGTGCGCAAGGTCGTAGTTATAGCCTTTGAAAGCCTTATTAATTGCATGAACGTCGTTCAAATACGAATACAATTTTTCAATGAAACAAATCAAATTGCCGTTACACTTCAAGCATAGCTTTTTTTCCAATTCGGCTACACTGAAATCTATTTCTGTCAGAAAATGGAGAGGCTTTTCTTCTAAGCAGCTTTCGCTAAGCACTAAGCTGTAGCTACTTATAGTTGATACTAAATACCTGAATTGACGAGTAATGCAGTTTGTAAATTTTGCCGCCGTACTTATGTGGTGAAATAATTTATAAATTCATTGCCTTTCAGATAAAAAGCTGTTACAGTTGTAGATTTCTTACCGAATACATTTGTCCACGAATCCACTCAAAAATCTCTGCATAGGATGCCGGACAGTGACGAACTGTACTCTCGACTTTCCGACTATATCGTTTAATTCATCGTAACCCAAATGTCTATTTTGGCATCCGCAAAATCTGAAAAGTGCAGGGATGCTAATCGTGTGTAGAATGTGCGTGGTGCAGGAAGGATAAGTGCTTCGAAAACAGCGTCTTACTGTACATCAAAACATGCAATTTTAGACATTTTCTTGGGATCGCCGCGGGCGCTTGCACAATCACCAATCCGGCGCTGTAAGTCCCGTCAAGCGCACTAGGAAAAGTGAATAAATCTTTTAGCCTGTCTTTTGCAATGACGTCACCCAACTTGAGTGCATTTGCTTGCTCATTTACCAACATCATTTTGTCTCCTCGATAACCCTCGTCCGACCGTTGGAGCTTTTCTTCAAAACCGTAGAATCTCAACACTATGAAATAAAATAATATCCAAAAAACGATACCTTATCTCATTAACACTTAGCGTGGCCCCACTTCGCGGCCGATCTTTGATAAGGCTCGCGGCTTGCTATGTGATCGGGTTGGGTCCCATAGTTTATTCTCAAGCATTTGATCGCGGCATTGCCGAAAAACCACGCTTCGAAGCCGCGAACTCTCCGGTGCAGTCATCTGAGATCTTGTACAAAATGCTGGTATAATTAATTACCTCGTTAAAAGCAGCGTTCAGGCAGAAATGGACCTATGGGGCTTTTACGTGGAAAGTACTTTTGGGGCCCTAACTAAGGCACTGCCCAAGCGGCAGCTCAGGTAGTGCTCTAATGGCTGAGATATTCCCCTCAAAACTGGCCCCCGCGAACGTATACGCGTGGATTCATGGCAGTTTCGCGCCAAGATCCACGCTTTGCGCCATGAATCCATGCGAAACACGGTCGCGGGGTCCAGTTTCGAGCGGAATATCTCAGCCGTTAGGGCATTACCTGAGCTGCCGGTTGGGCAGTGGCTTAGTTAGGGCCCCAAAAGTACTTTCCACATAAAAACCCATAGGTCCAGACTTGCCTGGACGCTGCCTTTAACTGAAAGGGAGATGATGCAATACTTGTTACCTGATGATGCCATTATCATGAATCTTTTGTTGCCTGCTGCTGTCTTGGACAAAATTATTCCATTTGCATAAGCGCTTTTACAAAGGAATAGTATGATTCAAGCCTAGGTTGATCACTACAAGATGCCTTCAACCAGTAGCGGACCGAGAGGGGGGGGGACGCGAAATTTTTGAAACTTACCTATATGGGTTATAAAAAAATATTCTTTTAAATTTTTTTAAAAATTCAAGTTAGCCTTATAAAAAAATTTTTTTTGGGAAAAAGGGAAATTCAGAAATTTTCTTCCAGATTTTAGGGGTTGGGGACCCGCAAAAATTTTGAGAAGCACCCCAAAAATTTTTTCGGAGCTGGCTAACGCCACGCACTTTCATCTTTTGCTGGCTAACGCCACGCACTTTCATCTGAAAAATTTTTTTGTCGCCCCCCCCCGGTCCGAAATCCTGCGACCGCCACTGCCTTCAACGTATAACTTGAACTGGTTCTCGCAGCTGAAGACAACATATACCGCATTCTAATTTCTTGAAGTTCAAATGGTAGTTTCAAGAAATTCAAATGGTTTTGCAACTCATTTTGCCGTTATTACATACCAGTGCGTCACCTCTGCTTCGCAGAGGCTCGCACTGGCTCTACTATCCACATGCCTTTCTCGTAGTCCCAAAAATGATGGCTCTGAAACTTACCTCGCGATGCCGATCATCACGAATGAAATGTAAACAACTACTCATTCTAGAAGCTTTTTCATGTAACATCGGTGACTGTGAGGGTAAGAAAGTATTCTTCCAAAGATTAAATGCGATTCTGAATCAGTTACTGGGGTTATAATGGCTTGATAGTCGCCATAAAGATGATGACAACCGTGAGTTACATTTCTGCGCAAAAACTTTCTCACATTCCCAGGTAAAACCTTGACAAATCGACCGTCTTTGCAATTATTCCTTTTTTGGCGCCATTCTTACGTAAAGTTAACGTTTTGCTCACTTTTTGGGCTAGAGTTCATGGTTTGCGGATTTAATTGCTAAACGAAACCATGACTTGCCCACTTTGGCGCCCGAAATGCCGCGTGGATTCGTTTGGCGCACAATTTCACAGGTTCCACTAATCGGCTTGTGCTTTTGCACAGTTTACCTACATGCTGATAGGGTGCTATGACCAAAATTCTAGCTCAAGACCTTTGATGGAAGTCGCTCTACGAATTTCGTGACAGACAGACGTACACACAGACACACAGACAAACAGACGTAAACACCCTTAGCCCGTTATTATTAAGTCATAGATCACCACGCTCACTTACTCTTATATCAACTCTTACTCCTTAATTTAGTCTACGAAAACAAATTTAATCAATCAAAAATCAACAAACAGTTTTAAGAATGAGTATTGTATCCGTAAATGCCTACTTATCCTCCCATCTCCTCCGGAAGGCCAAGCAACACAGCTCAAAAGTTTTTTATACCAATAAAGAGAAAGAGCGAAAAATTAAGCTATGACACCCATACCGCCTTAAAGTGTGTGTGCGATCTAGAGGCCAAGCAGCTCTGATGTTCGAGTCCAGTTATTACAGTCTTAGTGAACACTACATACAAAGTGTTCCAAAAAAATGTGCCTACTGTTCAATTGTTGATAACTCATTTGTGATGAAGTCTCGAGAACCTTTGGGCACCATTTTGTAGAGTTGGCTTCAACTTAGATTTGCGGTATGGAGCGAATCATCGGTTGCTCTTCATTATTGTGGGATTAGGTAGGAACTTTGAAGAGGCGTTTGAGCCATGAAAGGCCATATTTTACCTCAGAAAGCAAACAAAACAATCTGAAAACTTCCACAATGGGCTAGTTAGAGTCTGATTTTGAGTGTGGAGTTCGCAACTTATGATAATGCTTATTAAAAAGTTATGCGAGATAAGCAGTACCGGCCGTTTCTCCAATGTTCCCAAAAAATGCGGTTACACCGTTTACAAAGGTTCGCAATCTTGTACATAATTGATTATTGAACTTAGCGTCCATGGAAACACTATTACACAATTTCTCTTTTTGAAAATTTTTGGAACGGCAGCTTTTTCACAGTGACACCATATGCTTAAAGTTTCTAACGTAATCCTACAGTAGTGAAGAGCGATTGTTGATTCGCTCTATACTGTAAATCTAAGTTGAAGCCAGCTCTACAAAACGGACCCAAGGCTGCTTAAAAGACTTGATAGAGAGTTACTTGCAATCAAACAGTGGGCACATTTTTTTGGGACACCCTGTATAAATCAAACCCTTTCAAAATGTAAGAAAGGTGAAAAATACTTTGCGCTCTTCCGATTTGGCACAACAGAAGGTAATTCAGCTCGGAGATAGCGAAACAACTTGAAATACTCTCCGTTTTGGGAACTGACAACTTTTTTGAAAATAGTTGATGATGGGAGTTAAAACAATAAGACAGTTTCGTATAAAGACCGCTTCCCGCTTATTCTGAAAACGCAAGAAACGCTTCTTTGAACTTTATGATAATGAGTGATGTAAGCCTTGATTTTTCTATCGCCAACTTTGTGACTCTACTCTCATGGTGCAATACAAAATTTCAGCAAAAATTTTGCCTTCGAATTTTATATGGCCCAGAAAAGTTACAACCGCCGTTTCTGTAATAAATTCTTTTTGGCAAACAATATAAATGCTTTGGAAGAAGAAAGTATTTATGAAAAAAGTCAATAAAAGCAGCTACTTTTTCAAAAATCAATAAAGAAAATTTTACTCTAACACGTGAAGCTGATATAGAAAGTCCAGTACTGCAAACAACATCATAATCAAGAACTTCGGGAAGAAGACAATTCCGAAGTTTTTTTTCCAATTTTTACAAAAAATACAACTTTTCACAATAAGCTTTTGATCGCCGTGCGCTGATACACAGAATTGCAGCCAAAAGATCTCTTTTCGGATTTACCCTACTATTACTAGTACTAGTTAGCAATGATACTCAAATAGATTTTCCTTCAATATTTTCTTTCCCTTTTTCCTTATGTAAAAATTTTATGAGACGGCGGCAGTTTGAAAAATTTCTCTCGAGGAAGGGGTCAAACATTTTCATGAAGTGGCTGTTTGTGTAGTTCTTGTGGTACCCATAGCATCGGATTTTGAAAAGTAGGCGAAAAAAAGCTTTGAGGTTACTATTAGATGAAAGTGTTGACGTATGCTTAATACGACAAACTCTTTGAACGTTATAAATCACACTGTTCTCTTTTAATACATTCCACAGCAGGCAAGGATAAATGAATGGTAAAAGATTAATTGCGATCTGATTATCCACTTCCTAAGTACGCCTATGCGAAAGATTTATTATTCGAATTATTTGCATTCATAGCAGATTTGGCGGTAGTCAATTCTTATCGCTGCCTGTACAAAGGTTCAAATAGTCACAGCTGATATATCTCAATGTTGTTGATGAATACATTGAAGCAAACAAACTGTTGTAATTAGTTGCTTTCAAGAAGAATTTCAACAAGGTATACAAATGTTTTACTCACCTTGATGTATATTCCTCAGTACTAATAGTACGATTGTTTGCTGTAAATTCGGTAGTGTTGGTGAGGTAACAAAAAATAGCATCAACAGTTGTACTTATTACTTTTTCAATAATACAAGTGCTTAAATGATATTTAGATGCCACCTGAAAAGAAAATCGTTAGTGCTGCTTTAGAATATTCTTGGTGTACCACACTTGGCAAATTCTTAGTTGCATATGGTCTATATATAGCTTATTTTTGCATGAAAACGGTTTTTGAAAGAGTTGCCAACAATTCTTATTACTAAGGGTACAGTTAAAAATGTTTTGCTGCCTTATTTTTACTTAAGAAATATCATACTTTTCAAAGCGCTATGCACCCTACCGCAAGCATGTTTGCTTCTTGTTCAAGGAAGTTAAAAAAGAATCTCTACCTCGTACATTCCATATTTAACTGTAGGTAAGCGCTGCCATCCGCATGATGATCGACAATATACAGCAATATGTATATTGTAAGTAACATTATTCTGTTTCGTTCCGTTAATTTACACAGAACAGCAGAAATTGCCGAAACATCAAACTACCTGCACTGCAGAGCCCGTAGTAATCATATTAATCCTCCGAATTGTGTCAAACGTAAAGAAAGCACGGAGATATTTGATTGATGTG